GCCATTATTAAAGAAAATAGAAAAATAGCCCATTTCATGGACTAAAAAATTGGCGTCCATCTAGCGGTGAAAGATGGAACTACAAAAATATAAAAATGCGATTTTCTCGAAAATTAGCGAACTTTGAGTACTTCTGAGGCGCAGAAAGTATTATGTGATCGCATTAGAAGCGAAATAATGCAATAAAAGCTTCCAAAAGGCTTTAATAAAACAAATTAAAAAAATGTCATTTTATGGGGAAAACTTGTGGCGCCATCTAGCGGCGGGACTGCGAACTAAACTTAAAAATCGTATGTCCGTACACGCGTTAAGGGCTCAATTAAAAATTGATTTTCTGGGCTTAATACGAAAAAAAATGAATAACTTATTCAACTAAAATTGCTTTAAAATGTCTAAAGAAGCATACTGCGTCGTCAAAGTTACGACATATTACTTTTTATATTTTTCCTTAACGCGAGTTCGGACATACGATTTTTGAGTTTAGTTCGCAGTTCCGCCGCTAGATGGCGCCACAAATTTTCTCCATAAAATGACATTTTTTTTATTTTCTTTTTTAAGGCCTTTAGGAAGCTTTTATTGCATTATTTTGCTTCTAATGCGATCACATAATACTTTCTGAGCCTCAGAAGTACTCAAAGTTCGCTAATTTTCGAGAAAATCGCATTTTTATATTTTTGTAGTTCCATCTTTCACCGCTAGATGGACGCCAATTTTTTAGTCCATGAAATGGGCTATTTTTCTATTTTCTTTAATAATGGCCCTAGCAGGCTACAATTATAGTCGTTCGATTCCTTAGGCGACAAGGAAAAATTTGTATATCTCAGAATTTCGAAAAAGTCCCTAGTTTTCGAGAAAATCGAGATTTTCTATTTTTGTAGTTCCAACTTTCACCGCTAGATGGACGGCAATTTTTTGGTCCATGAAATGGCCTATTTTTCTAATTTCTTTAATAAGGGTCTTAGAGGACTGTAAAAGTACTCATTCGATTCCGTAGGCGATAAGGAACAATTTGTATATCTCAGAATTTCCGAAAAGTGCTTAGTTTTCGAGAAAATCGAGATTTTAGTTTTTCGTAGTTCCGCCGCTCACCGCTAGATGGCGCCACCTGTACCGTTTTGGACCGAATTCTACAAAAATTGATTTTCTGGCTTTATTAGGCATCAAAACGCATCAAACCCTAATAGAAATTTGTTTCTAAATGCCTCAGGAACCATACTACGTCGTCAAAGTGCCGAAATATTGCACTTTGCATGCGCAGTAGAATTGACATAGGCGGCTCATCTACGTATTGCAATGCTGACACAAAATAATTAATTACTCATTACCGGAACATTATTTATGAACTTTTATGATCGAGCCATGTAAATAATGCATTGCTGACCATTCTTCAATCATGAAAGTGCACAAAATATATCCACAAAACGTATAATTAAAATTCAAATGACCTCGTGTATACCGCTTGTCACCGTGGCTGGCCTTAGGTTATTAGTTAATAACTAATTAATTTCATTAAAAATCTGAGCAAATATGATACGAGAAAGTATCTGAGGGATCACTGGACATTCTCTTATAATAAAAGTGCATAGACTGTGCTCAGAAAGTGAGTAATTAACGATTTTGCATGCTCATTATCGTGTATATTCCTCCTGCGCGCCGCCCGCACATGCCATGGAGGAATAATCACCGAAAAACCATATCCCCGTAGACTTTAATGCAAAATTGCATTTGCTCGCGCTTATGTACTTGACTTTTCAACTTTGTTATCCACGTTTTTCTCTTGCACCATTCAACCAATTCAACCGAATGACACAGTTGACTATTTTTGCTTTAGCGTGAAATTTACTCACTCGCTCAACATTGTTAGGTTAGGCGCGGAGCGCCTCAATTAAACAGACCTAGTTCCCTACATCACCGACAGAAGATATATTCTTATGGTATACACATGAAACAATCGTTAAGAAAGGGAATTATATGAAAATATTGCAACACTTTTTTTTGAGCTCAAAATTATTCTCATAAACGTTTCCTTTTGCAAAGCGGATTTTATTTACATAATTTTACATGAGCCAGAATATTACAGCTTCTAGTAGAACAGTCAAAAATAGTGTTATATTAGAACATTGTGATTAGATTAGGGGTGCATGAAATTAGATGAACGTAGGATTAAGAAATAGTTTAAATCGACTTATAGAAAATTTGCATGATTTTTATTGCGGCACACTATTTATACCTAAATAATATTAAGAATTATACATTTCAAAAACTTCTCGAATAAATTGCGCTGTACCGATAGGTTCTCTCAAGTACAATCTTAACTTAATGTACTACAGTCGCTAGCCTTTGCAATATCAATTTGTTTCGCAGCCTTTTTACACGCTTTTCTTAACGATTTCGTATACTGCAGCAATCCCGCTTCGACTTGATCTTCGTCCTCCGTAAGTAGATCATCGACCCTGCAGGATGGAAGACAATCAGCACCTCCAATAGCGACTACTTGTCTCGCGATCTCTGGATCCACACAGAGTCTCGTGAGCGCTGCTGCTGCAGTAATTTCCAAACGTCTGTAGGCATCTTCAAGACCTGGCGGTCTCATTCTAAGGAAAGAAACCAACGCGATAGAGGCTCGAGCTTCCGCCAGGTGTGCTCGAGCTTCGGGGATACGTGCCAGTTCGCTGATAAGAGCTGCTACCTGCTCCATCAACCAAACGTTCTTGCCGGTTGATTTCTTCACGGTTTTCAGCAACTTCTTCACGGTCCCGTGTTCCAGTATCACCTGGGCACATTTTCTGGACTTGGACAAATGATTGAACGCGGCTGCGACCAACAATAATGTCTGTCCGCAGTTGGTACTCTCGACTAGACGATTCAACGAAGGAATTAGGTCATTAGCGAAGGGTTCCAGATAAGGTAAACCTAAAGCGTTGACCCACGGTGCAGTTATTTGCACGACCAACGCTGTCGCTTCCATTTTCTCCTTCTCGGACATTTTGTCCGTGCTCAGCAGATCCGTCAGTATCTCTGGACCTCCATCTTTGACGAACTGGTGTATCGCTGTGGCAGAAGAACATACGCTCGCCAAAGCTCGAAGGGAAGCCGTAACGAAATCCACCGACGATGCTCCAGCTGTGAGAAGGGACGTCAACAGAGCCCTGATACCGGAACACCTGGTGATACTATTTCCTGCCCGAGGCCCTGATAGTCCTAGAGCAGTCAAAGCCGCCAAAGCACCTTTGGCTACCGTTGTGTCATCCTTCGGTGACTCTTCCAAACCTCTGACTATTTTCTGCAAGAAAATATCAATTTCAGTACCATATTTTCATTACCTTCATAACCACTCGATGAGATTAACAATACCTCGATATAGAAATCTAAACGTGTATCCACAGCGCTATCTACGTAAGTCTTGATGCTCTCCAATTGCGATAGTATTGCTTTCAAACTGGTCTGCTGTATTCTACGAGGAGGTGGTGCGCCCAACTCCGAGAGAACGGAGAAAGCATCGTCCTCAATGGCACGCAGAAGTTCTTTCTCGGATCTGCCTCTTTCTATATGCGACACTTTGCTGAGAGAAAAAGCGAAATATAAATACAGTCATTCATATATTTTTCCTTCGAATTCGAATGCGTACACTTACTCAAAGATATATTCATAGTGTTTATCGAATTGCTCCACCCTTATCAACAACTTATTCGCGGCCGCAGTAGCTAAAGAAGACAAAGTCTTCAGATCGTTCATTTCGTCTCTTTCACTCAAGAACTCACGACGTTTCCGTCGTGGCAGAGCTTTGCTTTGAAGAGTGTTGTTGCACTCGCTTTCGGTCTCCATCGCCAGGTTACTTAGCCACGCTCTAACCGACGACGATTGTCTGTACGTTCTCGAATGGAGAAGAGATTTGCAGGATGATTCGGTCTCATAGGAATTCGTCGACGAGTTCGTACTCCGCGGTTCTATGGCATCCTCCGGTGGCTCGGCTGCGTACAGAAAATCGCCGAGACTTTCCTCCTCGAAGGAGATGGACGCTGGAATTTTCGGCGCGTCTACTTGATCCTCCTCTAGTCTGAAAAAGAATTGCGATTATATTCTCAAAGTTTCCAAATTCCTGGATGTCTCAATTCATAGACATACAATTTCATAGATTTATTTTCTACCTTTCTAAATTCATAAATCCCATTTTCTCTACATCTACAAATTATATTTCCAAATTCCAGACTTCTAAGTCCTTATATTCCCATATTCATAAATCTTTATTAAGCATCTCAGAAATTTAAATGTTCGTTTAATATATTTCATGCCCTGAAGCATTACCATATATTTAATCCTTATCTTAACAGTTCTAATAACCGGAATAATTACGTCCGTTATTCGCGCGCCGTGAAATTTATGCAGCACTGATACATCTCTGCAATCGCTTTAGCCTTCTTATTGCCAATTAACTTATCATTGTTGAGTCACTGATCTTCGTTGTTCGAGGCTGATTCACCGAAAGCGAACGATGTCAACCCAATTTCAGTAATTAAAACGTAGACATCATTATATCATGTTACGTAACTATAAACAACATTTTTGCAACTTTCAAAATACGCTTGCTTAATATATTGATAATGTCGGTCAAGCTATGTTTTAACGATGAACGAGTTTTAATCGATTAAACCCAAAAATACCTCTTTCACCCGATAGATTTTTTACAGTCGCTGAGTAAAGTGTGACTTTTAATGCACAGAAGCTTCACTGGAGGAGAGCTATCTTCATTTTATTACAAAATTTTCAAAACCTCTTTTTATCAAATTCCCAAATTTCCAAAACCTCATATTATCAAATTCGGAAATTTCCAAATTCTCATATTCCTAAATTTCTACATTCTCAAATTCTCACGTGCCTAAATTTTTAAATTCTTACATTTCTAATTCCTCACATCCTTGAACCACGCATCCTCAAATTCTCACATTTCCAAATCTCCACATTCCCCAATCCCTACATTTCTAAATACTTAGAGTTTATAAATTCTGAAGTTTCCAAGTTCACAAATTTTCAAGTTATCACATTTCCGAATCTCAGACTCATTACATTCCCAAATCCTCAAATACCCAAATATGTCAAGTTCTCAAATCTTAAAAATCCTCAGTCTTTGCTCCAAAGTGTACATCGCAATTAGTTCGTAAAAGTATTGTATTTCTAAGGTCATCACAATCGATCTCCGTAATCAGCTGTTAAGATCCGTCTACGATACCTTAATCTTGCCATAACGAGACAGCAGTCTCGGCTACCATCGCCGCGACATAGTTAAGGCCTAACCAATGTCGAATTCCAAGCCGCATAACCAGGTGCACGATAACGCTTCCGGAACAATCACACCGACGAGGAGCGGTACAGAGCGAATGTTGACTAATCGGCTACCTCCGGAACTAAAATCGTTCTCTCATGGACGTTGATGACTAATCCCATTTCTTTGACTAACAATAAGCTACACTCCGTCACCTGCACACGATCCACGCGGTAGCATGAATTCTTCGTACGTTTGCTGTCGTCGCTACGGACCGTGGTTGAGTTGAGTCAAACCTCGTCGTCGTTCTTTCATTTACGTATTCCTCGTGTAGCACGTCGCATTGAATCACGTACGGCGTGTAAATATACAGGGTGTCGGGACAAAAATTTCCTTCGAGGATCTATCGTACCACGATCGGTGAACGCCGTTCCATTGTGGACCACGTGTATATGCGTCGGACCAAGTTATAACTTATGCGTTCATCTTTTGTGCTGGATTGCTTTCGATTTATCGAAGGGACCAATCTTCTTTGCATGTACAATGAATGAAAGAAGGTACAGCTAGATTAGTTTGATCAGTATACTCGGAAAGGACTTGTTCAGTTCTTATTGTCTGACAAATTGGAATATTTACGACGGTATAAAAGCAGCGTTCAAATCTTGAAGCGAACATCAAGTTACATTTCGAAGTTAAAACACTAGTATATGTGATGAAAGTAATTTTTAACAATATAAAATTTAAAATACAATAAGTATAGCAAACTCTTGTTATATTGTAACATTTTAGTCATCCAGTGACGGCGGCCATTTTGAAACAATATCCATAAGGATCAGTTGCAGTAGAGTTTGTCGAATGAACATTCAATTCTCAACAGCAATTAGTTACTCAGATCTCAACATTTACACATAATAAATTCATTAATTTCATCTGCTATGAAGTAATTTCGTAATGTTTGCCATTAAACTTCAAAGTGTCTAATTCGATGAAGATAAAGTATGTATGCGATGCAGTCGGTATCTTAATGATAGCACTGAGTAAATGTTGCAAAACAAGTATGTAAATTGATCTTGCTTCCCAGTATTAATTAATCGAGTCTCTACGTTGCTCTGGTAGATTGAACTTACGTTATAGATGTTTGAATCTACATTAATCGAAGTTAATTGATTACATGCGACGGAATTTTCCTACGTTCAATTTATGCTGTTAAGTACCCGCACCAGTTTGCAATTTCCGAGCACGTCACGCACATATTAATTTCATCTGCCTAACGGAATATTAATCAGAAAATTATGCATGCTGTCATCTCTGTGACAGTTTTACAAATTAAGTTACTGTAAAATATACATATATGTATATTCAGATATGTTAAACTTACAAATTCACTTTTCCAACTTTGTTAATTTCAAAGTTCTTAGTTTTCACATAGAAAAATTTCATACTTCTACACGTATTTCTTTCAAACATCTAATTTACAACTTTACCAAGTTCCAAGTATAAATACAGTCTTCGAATGTACAAATTTAAAAATGCAGTAAAATTCTCAAATTAAAAAGCTACCCCACAGCGCCCGTTAGTGCACAGACCTGATTGATTACATGTTACGTCATAAATAAAATGCAAGTCAAGTCGTTTTTATCGCGAGTTGCGTATATAATGACTATTTGATATTCAGAACGATGAGTCGTGCTACTTCTAGTGAGCCTAGAGAATGATGACCGGTAAAGGTAACGTGCGCGTGGACACGGCGATTAGCCATCATACAGGGGCAAACGAAAGTTTACGAAACACCAGATGAACATGAGGAAGTATTTTATGTGTTGCATTCCTATCGCTTGGCTCAGCACGAGGACATTATCGTGACGATTCATGTTCTTAAAACATACATTCTTCGCACCTTATCGGCTGCTACAAGGTGCGGCTTGGCTTCAAAGATAATTCCTTTAGTGCAACTCAATATGTACATGTCTAATAATGCTGTAATTTTATGCCATTATTGATCAAACATACCAATTGTGCATCGTTACCTTTGAATAATAACGACAGAATTTACATAATGCATTATTCTGATTATTTCATGAGTCAGTGTTAATAATAGATGTGTAGATCAAGTGTCGCAAGTGATGCACGAAGCAGAATAAAATTTAAAAATTTGGAAATTTAGAAATATGGGTATTCCAGAAATTTAGATACATGTTTGGTACTTAGTTAATGCTCTAACATTCAGATCAGGCTAACATACTATATCTGATCATAATCAACCAACTCGTGAATTGTAAATTTCTTACTCGAAGTATAATCTTCCAATTACCTTTGTATTCTTGGCACGTTTCGTTTGGTATACGCATTAAGGACCATTGTATTTCGAGGCAAAATTCTGGAGTCCTTGGGCGTCGAAGTATACGTAGGATCCGGAAGAGTTTCGTGTTCCAACCAAGTAGCACCGAGTTTCGTTCCATGTTTTCGATCTCTCACTCTTTTCCGTCTTCTTCGACGTCGCGGTGTTTCGTTCTCGTACAACTCGGAACAATTCGATCGTTCGGAATCGGAGAAGCCAGAATCTAGACTCCTGAGGTCTTGGCTCAAAGGACTGCAAGACCTGTTTATCGCACCAGCGATATTCTCGTCGTCGTCTTTATCTTCATCCTTTATGTCCATAGTTACCCTGAAAGCATTTTTGGTGATTGTCTGATACTGTGGAATGTGAGCCATAAATAATCGTCAGGTGAACGAGATAAGTGAAGTAGAATTATATTCATGTAAATGATAGCTAAAATATTAGGTGATCATTTTGAAAAACTTTAATTTTAAGATATAATAAATTGTATAATAAAGTATAATAAATTGTATATAATAATCTATTGCAATAATAAAGTGCATCTACATTGCTATACTCCGCATACGTTTTACAATCGAAGAATTAAACGCACCCTTAAAAGTTTCATAAATCTACGCGGCATCGATGTCTCTTAAAGATACCTTTCTCCATGAAACAACGATCGAACAAATTCGTAGAATAAAATGTTATCATACGCTCATGAAATCGAAGCAATTAGAATAGCGGTACAAAAGTAGCGTTGTGTGTCACCGCGATAACGAAGAAGCAGATAATGAACGTGCAAACACCATTCGCTTCCATCGTAATTCGACTTACGTTTGAGTCATCAAATTATTGTCTTCGTGGATCGAAATCGTAGGATACAGATCCTGAGAATTTTCATTTCCATTTGGGCAAACACGAATCGCCGTTACGTTCGCAGTTTCGAACGTGTCGCTTTCGTTGATGCTGGACGATCGTTCTTCCGCTTCCTCTTCGGGTATCTCGAAGCAAGTTCCACGATTCTGCTTAGTCCTGGTGAAATTGTTTCTCGCTCCAAAAGGATCTACACTTTCTAGATCCTGAGCAGCCATATGATTCCAGAACACTTTGCTTTGATGTCTCTTGAACGCGCTCATTTTCGATTTATACAGCTAACTTTTACGTTGATCGAAATTTAATTCGTTGTCGTTGCAACAAAGTTTTCAAAATTCCCTTTCAGTTTCTGTGGTAACGACGAGGATGAGCGGTAAAATAACGCGATCGTATGGGGTAGTTTCACGACTCAACAGAGCGGAACGACCCTCCCACGGGTCGCGTGCCAGAAGGACCTTATGGTGTCCGTAGCAACCCCCATGGAGAATCCGATGGTTCTTCACGTTAACACCGAAAACATCCTTTTCCGTTAACAATGTATTATCTACTTTTTATAAATTTTATTACTGAAGGTACACTATATGAAAAGGATCCACTTTCAAATAATTGGCTCCACTTTAAAGGACAATTACTGGATCATTAAGTTATCGATTTGCAATAATCTGGCGAGTTCAGTGTTTACTCCTTCTTGATGCACAAAATTAATTATTTATTAAAAACGACGTAACGTCGATCGATCTAAACGTATTGGTGCTTCGCGAACGACTGACTCGTATAGCGACGCTTCCGACTTCCTCCCGTAAGTCGCGCTTCTCCCCGCCTCGAGCTCGTAAGCCAACCCGTATGAAAATACAGCTCCTCCCCTTCCCTTTTGTCGTATCCACGGGGTTGCATACCTCTATACGGTACGTGTACCCCCGTGTAAGTACCTCGGCATGTGTGTGCACCCTCGTGTAACCGCCAAAGCGTAACTAGGTGCATTCTCAGCGACGAGGATGCAATGGCGTGAACAGGAACTGTGTTCGATTAGTTTTTCCCAAATCAATTGCTTTGAAAACTATTATCAACCCTTTCGTTACTTTCGCTATGGTCACTGGCTATTACTGGAAATTCCGGTGGTTCAGAAAATTTATAATTTGCAAATTCTTGAATTTGGAAATCTTCAAACTTCGAACTTGGACATTTTCAAACTTCTGTAAACTTTCCAAATAATTATGTAAACTTTAAAATTGCTTTTTAAAAAAGAACAATGATGGAAAACTTTGCGATGTCACGAATACGTGACACCGATCACGAAAATGTTAGGAATGGTGAAAGATATCAGAATGACTGTCGATAAAGGAATGAACAAACTGTGATTATAGACATAGCGCGCACGCCACGAACAACGTCACCAAATCACGCCAATGCTATTTTTAAGGGCCAGGTGTGACTCCCTATTCCCTATCACACTCGTGTGCGTACGTGTACACGCGGGGGTCAGGCTCTTCCCCTGTAGAAGTTGACCGAAGAAACATTTCCACCACCATTGGATCCAGGGGCACGCGCCGCGCTGCACATCTGCGTAAAATGCTTCCAGATGACATTGGCGTAACTAGATGAAGGGATCAGGGTGGGTTTGACACTTCTAAAATTAGAAGTGATCCTCTTCAAGTATTTCTCGTGAAAATTGGAAATTGGGAATTTGGAAATTTCTAAACTTAATGATTTTCAAATTTTAGATTTTCCAATTCGACTTTCCGACTTTCCAAAATATGCAAATTTTGTAATTTCTAAATCTTCAAGTTTCGAAACTCTTACATTTGTAAATTCCCATATTCCCAAATTTCCATGCCCCCAAATTTCAAATGCATTCAAATTTCCAAATTCATAATTCTGTACATTTTCAAAGTGCCGGGGCCCCTTGAGCTAACGACGGCACTGAAGTGTCCCTTCTGTATGTGTGCGTGAATGATTCACTTAACCCGTGTACTATTACGACTTCGATCTTCGATTCGATCTCTTTAGTCCAATTCGCAATTCAATCGTTTAGAGGTCGATCATGTATGTATTAGCATTGGCATCATAGTTATGCATCAGTTTTCAGTTACATAGCCGATACACGTTACTACGAGAACAATTATCCATCAAAAATAAAATGTGAAGAATTATTTAACATACGATATTAATATGTTATCTAGAAAAATAAAATTACATGACAAGCAATGAAATTACTTTATAAATAATTTAATGTTTATAAATTGTACGTACCTTGCATTTTTGTTTGAAAATGTAGAAATTGAAGTAAAAGTTGCACAGCTCATGTTATTCTTTTCACTCGTTCTCTTTGACGATTATTTCGCAGAATGATGATTTCACGCATTGGAATTTTATTAGTAATGGATGCTGACGAATTTAGATATTTCCAAACGTGGCAATAAGCTTCTCGTAATGTTAGATTCTATAACAAGTTTGATAGTTGCAGTCATGTCGCAGAGGCGATCATTAAGAAATGGCACTTTTACCGATCGCGTGTACAACCTCGATGACTGGCGGAAAGTGAGATTGTATTAACTGTGTCGAATGAAAGAAAGCGCGTATGCGATCATTAATTTACATATGCAACACCCGTATATCAAACACATGCATACACGGTTGCATTGATCATTAAACAAAATAAACAATTATTTAAAGCATCAAGGAAAAAGGATATCACAAAAATTATTCATTATTGAATTTAGTTAAAGTTCCAACATACCAAACTTTTATTTCGGGAAACGAAGTTTTATTTTATTAGATGCACCTTTAGAGACATTCCTTCTAATGCCAGGTAAATGTAAGTGCTGTTCCGTTATTATCGATAATACAGACCTTTTGTATTCCACAACAACTGACTGTTCTGTGGTATTGTTTCGAAACGCTACATATGTGCGGGAACGTCTACACCAATAGACTTATTTTGTAAAGGCATAAAGGGTCTGGTCGAATCTATTGTACGGAAAGATCCGTACGAAATGGGGGACAGCTGGGTACTGACTGTTATTTAAAGCGCGTGTGTGCGTTACCCTGATTGGTTGGTGAAATTTAAATTTCTGTAAGAATTAGATAGCGTCAACTTTATAACTTTTAATTGTCGATCGGTTGATTACTTACTTATGAAAAATATTTATAGCACAAATTACTTTTACAAGAAGAAATTATAGTGTTCCTTATTATTGTGCCTTTTAGTTCCAGGAAAAACTCCTTTCTTATATTAGGATTCTGTAGAACAATTCAGAGTACGATTATATCGAAATAATTGACGATCGCTGCGTTCGATTATGATTTCTACAGTTTCAGTAGCGCTATTGTCGTATTCTATTCTATACCGATAATGTCGCATGTGACACGAAAATGGTAAAGGAATTACGAATATCGTATATAATCGACGAGTCGTAACATGAAAATATTTGTTGAATGGGTTTGGTATACTTTGATTTATAGTACTAAATGTGAAGCGATTGTATTAGAAGCTTAGAAACAACCCCGAAAGCTTGCAGGTTTACCGCGCATAAACTGGCGCGCAACATAATCCGCGCTTAAAAATCGGCTTAAATTGGACCAACCACGTTCAACGGAATTTCGAGCTTCCCTCACTCCGTGAGCTTTCCCCTCAAATAGCTTATGCCAAAAGAGGACACACTCTGCGACAGACAAGGTACAAGATAGTATCTATCCTCCTTGGTTGCAATTTACTCGAGGGGCAGGTATACGGAGTGAGGGAAACGCAGGGCTCCACTGAACCTAACTGGATTAGACTATTAGACAGAAGCCATCTTTAGAAAGCCTCAAGTGTTCAGTGTACTGTTATTCGTTCCACGGTAGATCATATTTAATTCGCGCAACTCAGTTAACTTCAGAAGTCACCCCTCCACTCAGTGCTGACCTACTAACATACTTTTTTACTCGGTGGATCATATACACGGTGGATAAAATACACGAATCCCGATAGGTGTGTATGTAATGCAGTATACGAGTAGTATACAAAATAAAATTTCACTGGGTATGTAATAGGATACATGATCGGCATCACGAAGACTTTAAGAACGCATGTGCATTACCCCCGATTGCAGAACATGCAGAACCAATCAGAACGGACCGGCGCAGTATGAACGAAAACTCGTCGTTCGGCACCGCGGTTCTGTCCCGAAATAAAGTATAGGCAAAAAATTTAGAAAGCTTTAGAAAGCTGTTTAGAAAGCCATTTTTAGAAAGTCTGATGTGCTCGGTGTGCTGCTAATCTCGTACCAAAGGTTATGTTAAAATGTTATAGTGCTTATTGTTGCAAATATGTGCACTTTGTCATGTAAACATTGATCCGGAAAGTATTCCTCATGTCACTGCTTTCTTATAGTGACTAGTAATATTTCCTAGCTGCACTGCAAGTTTCCTAGAATTATTGAACACTATCTCAGAGAGCGCCATCACGTGTAAAAGTTCGACATCGAGTTTCTTACCTACATTGCGGCAACTGCAACCAGTACAGAAAATGTAATATGGTGGACAATGGCGCTACACGGTTTAAGAAAGATATATTTTCATAACATTTAAAAACAACTTTTTTGTGTGGTTATTCGTGCCTGAATAATTGTAGCATGGAGACTCGAACAAATGAGCTGTTAACAACAGGTCCATTGCCAACGATCAAGGAAGAACCACTTGATCAAACTGGCGCGAAGCAAGACATGCAACCATCTCAAGTACAGGGCGTTTGCATCGAGGAAGAATGTGAACAGCGTATCGAATGTACAACTGATGGTCAAGAAAATGAAACGCGTGCATTTTTATCAAAGTGTGTATTTTGTGGGAAAACTTTCGCGTTTGGTGATGATCCAAAACTTTTAGAATGTTTACATGCAGCATGCTCAGCATGTGTCAGTACTAAACTCAACGATCATAATACATCAGTTGACGTGGATGTTCTGTGTAAGACTCTAACATTTATTTACAATTTTTAATTTTATCGATTCAGACATGAATAATGTACAATTTTTTAGTTCCTTCCTAATATTCAAACAATATTTTTAAATATTTAAAGACAAGCTGAAATATACATGTTTCTGTATTTATTCTATCCAACTTCTTGTAGTAAATGTATTTTATGTAATTTAAAATTATCAAAAAAATATATACCGTAATATGTAAGTTATGACAATTAAAAAATATCTATATTTTTATTGTTGCAGTGGAAAGCAATGTAATTGCATGTCAAATTTGTAATGTTACTACTCAAGCAGAAAATTTAATTGAGAACCGATTTCTTTCAAAATTGATAGAAGAAGATAATAGCCCAGGTACTGATGATGAATCTAAAGAAACGGAAGAAGAAAAAAAATGCACTAGTTGTCATGATAATGCTCCTGCCACAAGTTGGTGTGTGGAATGTGAAGAATTTATTTGTCAGAGTTGTGTTTTGGTAATAAAGTTATAATATCATTATACTATATATATATATATATTTCTAAAAATGAACCAAAAATTATTTTGAAAATATTTTTAAGGCACATCAAAGATTAAAAATCACAAAGGATCACACAATTAAACCAAAGGATGAAGTAGCCAATGATAGAGATAATGTTAAAAAAGCTAGCAAAAAAACACCTGGCTATTTGTTTTGTACTATTCATTCACATGAACAGTTGTCTTTATTTTGTCAAACATGTGATAGATTAACTTGTAGAGATTGTCAGTTAAGTGAACACAGAGATCATAAGTACAAATTTATTCACGAAATTGCTGCAGAAACACGAACTTCTGTATTAACTTTACTGAAGGAAGTAAGGTAACTTGAAGTGTTTTCTTTTACTTTAATTACAAAATTTTTGTATTCTTTTAAAACTTTAAACTATAAAATGTGTTTATTTTCAGTTACAAACGGGTTCTACTGAAAAGTGCAATGAAGGTTATAGAAGATAGGCAAGGTCTTATTTTAGAGAAAAAGAAAAGTTTAGTACAAGACATAACACAAATGGTGGTGCAGTAAGTTATTTTAAATTTTGTGCTTAATGTCATTCTTCAAATAAATCAAAATTTATTGATTTTTATAATACTGTTTATACAGATTAACAAATGCAATTAATACGCGCGGCAAACAGTTGGTTATGCGTTTGAACGAAGTTTGCGATCAAAAGCAAAATACGTTAAACGAAAAAAAGGTTGCTTTAGACCAATTATCAAAACTTACAGATCATTGCATTCAGTTTGTAACTCATGCTTTAAAAAAGGGCTCAGACATGGAATTACTTTATAGCAAAAAGTGTGTATTTAGTTAATACTATAATGGACATAAAAATGAATAGGAATGTTCTATAATACTCTTATTACAGATCTGTTACAAGCCATTTGCAAAGAATCAAAAGTAGGCGAGCTGACATTCCAAATCCAGAAATACCAGTTAGAATACACTTATCCTTGGAAAAAGTACCAGATTTGATAAAAGGTTAAATTAATAATAATAGGTGCTTAATTATATACTATTAATATAGGTAGTTTGTGGCATTGCTATAAACTAAAATTATTTTATTTTCTTAATTACAGTAAGACAATCAACATTTCGTTTATATTAAGTAAAATATATATTTTTTTTCTAATTTCAGTGGTTTCATCTATTGGAGCAATTGTTGTAGATGGTAGAGTATACCCTTCTATATCTCCATTAGGGGGAATAAATGCACCATCTATGTCATACAATGAATCTCAAACAGATCAAAAACAAACACCCACTCTATCAACTGCACACATGGATGGCTCTCCTGTAACTGCGCAACTGCCAGCTGCTACACAACAATCAAGTAATATGCAACAAAATTCCTATCAACAAGTGCCTCTTCATCTAGCAACTCAACAACAACAACAACAGCAGCAGCAGCAACAACAGCAACAACAACAACAGCAGCAGCAGCAGCAAGCGCCGTCACAAAATTATCCTATGCAACATCATCCTCTGAATAATATGCCACCACGATCATCGCCACAGGCGCATCAACCACGGGTGCCGTATGCAGTTAATTTTAATAACCGATTACAACAACCATTAATGATGCAGCAGCGTCCTTTAGGAAGTTGTCATCAACAAGTAACATCATCTACGCATCCTCATCAGCAAGTTCATATAGACCAACTGGGACAAAACACAAGTTTGCGTGGACTTCTTGCACATAATCCTCCCCCTTTCCGCCCTTCTTCAAATCATGTACCATATCGATTACCACCTTATAGGTATCCTTCAAATAATTCTCAACGACCAGTACAACCGCATACGTATCCACCAGCCACTCCACCTATATCAATGCCAGCTATGAGGCATCAACAATGTAGTCCTTCTCTACCTGCACAACATATGAATTATCCTATTCAACAACCAGCTGCAGCTCGTTGGCATATTCCTCAAAATGTCAATCCTTGTCTTCCTTGTTATACTTCCCGTCATCCAACAGCACCTTCCATGCCAGTTCCTACTAATGATACTTACAAAATAACATTAAAAAATCAACAGTCAAATACAAATCAAAAATATAATACACAAACAAGTACTGCTTCCGACAATCCACCTCAATCACAAAATTTAGTGTCCGTTGGCCACACAGTCAGTTCATCAGTACCTAAAACACCTAGTCCTGTGCCTCCTGGAAAATCGGATGAAACTGAAAAAAGTTTAGACAAATTTTGCCAAAAATCATTGAATGATTTAATGCTGACTATCGCAAAATTAGATAGTAACGGAATCGTGGTAATACCAGAAGCTCAACGAAATCAATTAGATTCGACTCAAGTAGATAGTTCAACGGACGAAGGAATGAATCCAATGACTGAAAATTCATCAGGTATTTTAATAATATAGAAATGATTATATAAAATGATGTAATTGTATGATAAAAATTATTTATATTTGTTTACGCATGTAGTGTGCACGAAATTATAAGTATCTATACATCATTATATGTTCAATAGATAATTCAAAAAATGCTGCAGCATCCATGGCAAAGGATGATCCTAACGAAGACTGGTGTGCTGTATGTATGGATGGAGGGGATGCAGTACTATGTTGTGATAAATGCCCGAAAGTCTTCCACTTGTATTGTCATATTCCTAGCTTGAAATCGTTTCCTGAGTAAGTATATATGAACCTACATAATTTAGTAAGATTTTTAATTACTCATATACAATTCGTTTGTGTATCAGTGAAAGCGAAACCTGGCAATGCATGCTATGTACAAATGTTCTCGATTGCACGGATGATCCACCAGGAGAAAAGAGACCAAATACAATGAGCGCCAAGGAATTACGTATTGCACAAAGAATTGTGTTAGAACTTTATTGCCAGTACGAACAGAGTTTACCTTTTCGTGAAGTTGTATCTAGTGAGGTAAATTTATCGCAAAAAATTAAATTATATGTATTACAAGTATATGAAATGAAAAAAGTTAAATTTTGTATTTTTTACCGGCAGATAGTGGAATATCATCGTATCATTAAAAAACCAATTGCATTAGATGTAATTAGAGATAAATTAAAACCAGAACATCCAAATCATTATACAGATTTAAGACAAGTAATGGCAGACATCAGATTGATGTTTAAGAATGCTTTTACATACAACCCTGTAAGTACTGTTAGAAAATTTATAATCATATTTAAAATGTATTTTATACGGCTGCATAATATTATTATGTTTAGGTTGAATCGCAAGTATATCAAGAGGCTCGAAATTTAGAAGAATTTTTTGAAAAGTTATTGTTGAAATGGGCTCCAAATTATGCTTACGACGATCCTTTCCTTTCGGCTGATAGAGACGAAGACGAAGAAGTATTTCCTCCTAATAGAAAATATCGACGTATAGTTAGCGATTGATTTTTATTTCTCACAATTAAGCACTTGAATACGTATATTATTTTAAAACACGTTATATTTTAAAGTAACTCGTGAACATTTCTTAGTTATAATGAGCATTGCTTTTCGCGTTTAGTGAATTGATAAAATACATTATAAATGTTTAAAGATAGTTACAAAACAACTGGATAAACATTTATAACTATAGCGTAGAATTCTTTGGATGTTTTGTTTCATATCAGTAAATTTTATATCATGCTTAACATGTATAAGCTTATAGATGCATGAATTTATAAATCAATAGTGAGTATATTTTTACTCACAGGGTTTATCAATAGAATATTCAGATGTTTACTGTCATTAATGAATTTATCGTGAAATCAGTTGATGAAATATGTATCATTGTTTCACGTGATTAAGTGATTTATTAAAAGAAAATTATATTAATTTTATGATGAAGTATTTCGGTAAATACACAAGTATATTTTTTATAAAGTATTATGACTTTTACATATATATATACATATATACATACACACGCTATCATTCTAATAAAATTTTGTGGGGAAAATATTGTATTATTTGTTGATGAAAAATTATGATCGAATATGTTACATTAACATACTAATTGGAACTTTTATAAATTGATATAATTCGCAAAACTTATTGTTTTAAATGTAATTCATCCTTTTAACATTTTAAATTATATATTACATTTAATAGTTAAGCACGTGTTCAATTTGTTGTGTAACAATATATTAAAATTAATTACATTAATGTTTGATTTTTACCTTTTTTTATTGTCAATTTTATAACACCGACATTTTTGTTCAAAATGAAATTTTTTACTTTTGTTGTATTTATTTGATGGTATTCAAATATATACTTTCTGATAATTTTACATGTGTTAGATTAAGTACACGTGTATAATATGTAAAAATGTTCGGTAAAATTTTCAAGATAATTTTATTTTCTAAAAAATTGATTTTATAGTCGAAATTGTAAATTTATAAATCAAATTCATCGTTTCAAATATAATAGAAAGATTAATAGGACAATTAATTGTGTCACAAATAAAAAAATATTACATATTAGAACGTAATCTTATAATATAGAATTGATTTTATAACAGTTTTATAAATTTCAAAAATTTATGTACTATTCAAAATGTAATATGTTATGCTTATAGAAATTAATAAAAGTAAAAAATTATAGAGAAATTAAAAATAAAATGCATTTCCTAATTATTGTTTTAAAACATTTATATATATACAAATCATTTTGTTATTTTTCTTGGAAAACGAATTATATGTGAACAGCTACATATTTATTTAAGTAACCAATCGTATCGGTTTCAGCCGGTACATACTTTATTTCACGAGAGATCTAGAGTAATTCGCGCATCTAAGTTGAATTTATATAAAATACCGTCAATCAACAGTCTACTTCTTGCTTCATAATCATATATACGGTAAACAATGAATAGTCAAAAAGTAATGATAATTAAAAGCACACATATGAAATAAAAGACCACTAGACTTTCACAATCGCGCGACAAACGTGTTTGAAACATTTGTATGTTACCCCTGGTTACGGAGTGTGTTATAACCAATCAGAGTAAACCTGCGCAGTATAGACGAAAATTAGCTTAGAATACCACAATTCTATCGAAAAATAAAGTTAGGTAACTGTTATGTTTACAAGATTTGAATTTTAAGTACATACATAGTATATATAATTTTTAAATTGTCAACCGGTATTTCGCAGCAAAGATATAAAATTTATTTGTTCGAAAACAGATGATTTAACACAGTCAATTTTTAATATATTTTTTGTATTCTTAGTGTATTTTCATAACTTAATTCACTTGCAGTTAAAGGTATACATGTATTTGTATTCAAAATATATACTTATTATTTTAAAATAATTAATGAAATACAAATTTTATAATGTATATGTATGTATTTATATGTTTTTCCTGGATTTTAAGAATTTTTAGTTATTTTGAAAGAAATATGATTCCATAACAATTCAGAAGGATCAGTTTATTTAACTATTCCTTTAGAAAAGTAATGATAATGCTATCTTTTTATAAATATTGTGAATAATAGTGTTATATGCGTACATATACATATATATAGAAATTATTTTAATATTATTTCAATAACTTGTATGTGGTGCACATACATATTCTTACAAAATTAAATGTTTGATACATATTAAAATTATTTTATATTCTGTACTACTTAAAAATGGAGTTAGAAGCATCAATAGTTGAACGTTTGCAAAAGTTGAGACAATGGCAGTTAGAACAACAAAAACAATTATTAATACAACAACAACTACAAAGAGAAATGTTAACTCAAAAACAAGACAGTATATTTAAAGCCCTTGAATTATCAATACAAGAACTTGACCTTAATGATGATACATTAGGTACAAGTGATTCAAATATTGATATTATAACATGTAATGAACCACAGGTGGAACAAAAATCTTCACAAATATTACATGATAATAATTTGTGTATTAAAAGAAGTTTAAATAATTTTCAAAATCATATTTCGCATCAAGAATCTTCTCAGGAGGAATCCATTAGAAATTTAGTTAATATGGATGGTCAATTAAATGAACAATCAAAAAATAAAATGTTTAATCCAAAATATAATATATCACTGACCTCTCCAAGACATAGTGGAGAATTTATTATAGAGGGAATAGCACCATTACCACCTGATAAATTATTAACTAATCATGTTTGTATTGATGATTTACCAATTCCTTCTCCAAAAAAAGATTTTCATACACTACTTGAAGAAAAATTAAAAGACTGTGAAAATGTATCAGTTGAAAAACAAGATATAAAAAAAACACAAATCAAGGCAAAGAAACCATTTCTTAAAAAAGGTGAAGGCTTATCCCGATTTAGACTGAACCAGCGACTTCATCTTCCTGCCACAAAAAAAAGATCACGCAGTTGTTCTCTCTCTAATAGTACGCAATCTAATTCTAAGCAGTGTAAGAAGGAAAGCAAAAATAATATTAGTCAATCTGTAAATACACAATTGTCAAAAAATGTGCATTATGCAAATTCTGCTCAGAAGCATTTGAGCCTCAAAAACATTCCACTACCAAAACGAAAACTTCGTTGCAAATCTGAATCCAATACTTCAGATATACAGCTACAAAAGTATATAAATGAAATTAAGAATACAATTGAATTAAGTTCTTCAGATTTTCAATTTGGTACACAAGAGGAATTAGAGGAAGTAAGAATATTTGAACTGTTAGAAGAAAAAGCAGAAAATTCTAGTTTCTGCTCTACATCCAGTGCAGTTATTGCATTTTTGCAACAATCAACGCCATTTAAAATAAAAAAAGGCAAATATAAAACAGAAGATGGCATAGTTAAGCAAGAAATTAATCCCTTGATTAAAAATTCTAATGATCGACTGGTTTTAAAATCTAATCCAGCTTACGAGTGTAGAACTTCTAATAAAAATACTGATTCTTACAGTGATTTTGCTTCTGTTATAAGCCAAAAACTAATACAAAATATGCACAAAAATTCAAATGTTTCAAAAGATACTAATGAAAATAATAGAACAGAAACTTTTCATAATACTGAGAATAACAATGAAGCAGATGTTAGTCTTCATGTCAGATTTGCTGATTATAATGAATATAAAACTATTGGATTAACAGATACATCAAGTATATCAACTGAATCATTGGTAACAAGAACTTTTTCAGATGAAAAAGTTTGGAGTGATTCATCAACTCCAGAAACTTCTAATATAGACTCTGTATCAATACCATATGAAATATCAGAGACTCCCGTATCTGTAAATAATAAAATTCAAGATAATAATTATAAGTCTAAATTAGAACAATATAATATTCAAGGAGGGGTAAATGAATTAGAATTTTCAGATCAGTCAGCTGATGATGAACAAAGTACCTTAGATAATTATAGTCAAAATAATTCAGTTCTAGAAAAAGTTGATACATCTAATAATACTGAACAATCGAAAAACTATATGAACGAACATAATGATAAAAAAGAGGATAAATATGTAGACAATTACAATGATGAGGAAGTAGTTGATATTAAAATGACAGAGAATATTGAAGAAACAAATGAAACTATTTTTACATCAGAACTTTTAAGAAACCGTTTGTTGGAATTGGAACAAGAAATCAATATATTTCGCAAGGAAAATGCAGCTTTATCTGTACAACGTAAAAAGTTACAAGAAGATCATAGAAATTTACATAAAGAATATACAGAAAAAGAAAAAGCTTTAGAGGAAAATAAAAAGCAAACAGAAAATCGCTTACAAGATGAAAGAAAAAAGCTAGCGCGTGAAAAAGCTGCGCTAGAAAATAGAATGAAGGATTCATTAGAAAAAGCTCAACAAAATAAGTTAGAAAGACAAGAAATACAATCTTTAAAGGAAGAAGTAGAAAAATTAAGAGAAGAAATATATGTAAAGGAAAGTAGATGGAATGCAGCACAATCCAGGCAGAAATGTCAAATGAGAATATTAAAAATGGAAAATTCAAAATTGAAGCAGGAAGTTGAGAGATTACAAAATTTGAAGAAAGGTAGTGTTAAAAATAAAGGAAAACTTGGGACCATTTCTAATACTAGGGTAATTCATCAGATTAACAAACAACTTGATATACAACTTAAGGAATCCAAAAATGTTAATACTCCACCAGATGATAGTAACAAAAAATCAGAAAATATGATAGATGCTAAGCATATGGAAAGAAATGAACATGATCGGGATAGTAGTAAAAATATTATGAGTAAAAAGTTAGAAAAATGTCAAACCAGTATGGTAAATATTGCAAAAAAGCGTAGTTTATATGAAAATTTAATTAAGGAAGCAACCTCAGACATAAGGGAAATTCATGAACAATCTAGTACTTCTGAAAATTTAAATTCAGACTTAAATGACAGACTTAGGAAATTAAGTACAAAAACAAATACTGAAGAAAACAACTGTAATAAATCTTGTGAAGAATCTGATTTAGTTTTTAATCATAGTACTTCTAATAATAAGATACAATCACAAGTACAAAATGATTATGCACATGCTTTGTCTCCTGCAAAAGTTTGTACAGAAGATTACAATGAAAAATCAAGGCCAACATCATTGCATGAATCATTTCATAATGCATATGTGGAAAATACAACTAGTCAAGACAATACTAATATTAATAAGCAATGTGTAAGACAAATTCAACATGCAGATGGTTCTACAGAATATCAATTTCCAAATGGTAATATTAAAAAGGTTTTTCCTAATCAAGGTTTGACTAGACTAATATACTATAATGGTGATATTCGGGAAACCAATAAAGATGGGAAAATAAAATACTTTTATGCATCAACTCAAACATGGCACACAACAATGCCAGATGGCTTAGAAATTTTAGAATTTTCTGAGTATGTCATCATTTGATTATAATTTTTTATAAATAATTCTTAATTATATATTAAATACAATTTTTCCTGTTATTTAGTGGTCAAGTAGAAAGGCGATCCCACAATGGTACAGTAGAAGTTTTATTTCCAGATGGTTCAGTACGAATTTTAGAAGCAGATGGTACTGAAAAATGGACATTACCAGATGGGACATTAATACAAATTCTTACTAATGGAGAAAAAGTTCTTACTCTACCAAATGGACAACAAGAAATACATACTAAAACTCATAAAGTAATAAAACTGAGTTTTAATTTATGTACAACATTACATATTTTTATAATCAATATGATTTTTTTAGAGACGAGAATATCCTGATGGTACTATTAAATTTATTTACCCTGATGGTACCCAGGAAACACGATATTCAAATGGTAGAATACGTCTTAAAGACAAGGATGGTAATCTTTTAATGGATTCATATCAGTGAAAGTTGTAAATATAATAAATATGTGATTGAAATTAATATTTATTAGGATAATCAAATTTGATATAGTATGATATATTTTTTATAATTTTTATACAAAGAAATTGAATCTATTATTATTATAACTACATATTTAAATAGCAAATAAACTATAATAAAAGAAAGCTAAATTTTATACTGTTATGATGTTGCAAAATAAAGATGAAATTATTATTTAACAATTTCTTTTTTATTAATGCATATTCCGAATTTCAAACTTCCTAAATTTCCAAATCCTAGATCTGTAAGAAATATGCAAACTAAAAAAACACGGGGTATATACGGAGGCGTGATAAAATTCGAACAATACGTATACACGTTGCTATTGGTTACGAAGCATACTTATATGTTCAAACTAAGTAGAGTACATGCGCAGAGTCATCGATAAACCAATGGCTCTATCAGCAACTCTTTAAGTATATGTCTTATATATATGGACACATATGCCGTCTGTGTGGCAATACATATAAAAGAAGTACTCTATTCATAATATGAATACATAGCTGTGAATTTGATTACGTGTAGTAACAAAAAATGAAATGTGAAGAATGAAAAGAAACCATTATGAATTACAATTTCTTAAGCAACTTTTTTTGGTGTTTTTGTAATCTTAACTTAATAGTAAAAGAAGTGATATCAATATATGATTAAACATACCATATCAATGAAAAAGTATATATCAGTTTTCTAAACCTATACGTGTTAAACTGTTTTAACCAATAATTCATCAAAGATGGTAAACGAAGTGTCAATAAATGTTTTAACTTTGAATTGCTGGTAAGTTCAAACTCGTTTGGTACAGTAAATATTAATTTATTTTTAAAACTTTTGTATTCTTATTTTAATTATTCTTTCTTTCTATTTGTTCAGTTATAAAAAATATTTTTGATGTCATTTATAGGGGAATACCATATGTTTCAAAAAATAGAAGTGCTCGTATGACAGCAATTGCAGAAAAATTTGCTACTGAGAATTATGATGTTATTTGTTTACAAGAGGTATGGTCCATTGATGATTTTAAAATGATGAAAGCTAAAACTCAAGAACAATTACCATATTCACATTATTTTTATAGGTAAATATATGTACAGGTATTATTACACTAATTTTTATTATTATGTATTTTTATTTCATTTTAAATATTAAAATATAATTTATATTATAGTGGAGTTGCTGGATCAGGTATTTGTATCTTATCTCGATATCCCATTCAAGATGTAATGTTTCATAAATGGCCTTTAAATGGATATGTACACAAAATACATCATGGAGATTGGTTTGGTGGAAAAGGAGTTGGACTTTGCAAACTTAAAATTAATAACTTAAATATTAATTTTTATATTGCACATGTAAAGAATGTTTATATTCTATTTATATTCTATTTATATACCCTCTGAAATTTGAATAAATAGTTACTATATTTAATGTTTCAGTTACATGCAGAATATAACACATACAGTGATGAATATAAAGCACATAGAGTTTTACAAGCTTTTGATACTGCCCAGTTTATTAGAATGACTTGTGGTGATGCTGATTCTGCGATACTAGGAGGTGATCTCAATGCAGAACCTCAGGATTTAGCTTATAGGATCATGTGTGGTGTTGCTGGTTTAACAGATGCTTGCTCAAAAAGTACTAGTAATTTAGGGACCAATGATTGTGCCAATAATAGCTACACTAGTTCGAAGCTTGCAAGAACTTTCCCACAGGGAAAGCGTATAGATCATATTTTATACTTGGGTTCAAAAAAAGTTAAAGTATGTTAAATTGCCTTTATAAACTAACTGTTTTAGTTACTAGAAATTATATATTAAATACTTGAATAATTATTCTAATGATATATTTGTAGATAGAAGTAACAGATTTTCAACATCCCTTTCCAAAACGAGTACCTTATAAAAATTTTAGTTATTCTGATCATGAGGCTATTATGGCTAGTGTTAAATTTAGTGCTGGTAAGTATATAATATAATACATTTTATATAATGTACAGTACTTACTATATAATTATTGTAGGCAAGTCTCAAAACTCAAACATAGATGTTAGAGATTCATTAAAAGAAGCTATACAAATATGTGAAACGTCGCTAAAAAGTATTCAACGACAGCGATATTGGTATTTATTAATAGATTTAATATTAATTATACCACTTATTTGGTCTATGGGACTGGATTGCTCTGTTACATCTTATGGTATATCTATTGGAGTTAATATCGGACGGCTTCTTTTAACTGCAATATTCTGCTATGCTTTATTCATGTGTTCTATATGGAATAGTATAGAAAAGAATGCTTTGAAAGCAGGATGTCTAGGAATGGAAATTTATTTAACAAATTTAAATAATAATTTAGATAAACAATGAAATTATAGAAATTATAGAAATACATATCTAGAAACTTCTTCTTCAAACTATTTCACCATTGTTCAGTTAAAACTATCAAAATATACTGCTATTTCTAATAGGTATATTTTTTATATAATAAATATTAGTGTTTACAAGCACTACTATTTTAATATTATCTTTATATGACAATAATCAAATCATTTCCTCTCTTTCTATGAATTATTCTTATCCATTATTTATGTATAATAGCATTGTAAATTTGCACAATTTTTAGTCACAGTAATAATTAATTCCAGTACTTTTTACATTAATATTTTTACGACCGCATCTTTGCGCAGTGAAACGTCGCCATGAACCGGCAATATTTTTGACATCACGTAGGAGTCAACGGCTAATAACAACGGCCTATCAATGACACCACGTAAGTGTCACCGGCCAACAACCACTGGCCTGCCTATGGCACCACATTAGTGTCACCGGTCGTGAAAGTGTTAATATTTCATATCTAATAAAAATGGAACAGTATTTTAAATGTCATACATTTATAGAAAGAATAGGCAAGTTAAGAAATGTTAATTAGTTAGCAAATTTTTATTCTTAAAAATATAATTCCATAAATGATGCATTCATTTGTCAAAGTGATTAAGTTCACAAGATAAAAGTACTACTTATTTTCTTTTTTAGTGTTTTACTTGTAATTAAATATTTTAACACTAAAATTACCAAGAAAATGCAAAAAGTAGAGTTAATCATTTTGGTGTCTGAATGGCTGAATTGCATTTATTAAAATTTATTATAACTTTTTAAGAATAATATGGTTCAGTTACATTCAATACGTTTTATTATATATAATCTTACAATATAGAAACTTTTTCTTATTGTTAATATGTTTCAAATTAATTTCAAGATTAAAGTTGTTTGATTTGATGAAAGTATTATATAATAATTGTTCAAGAAAATTATTAATGTATATATTCACCATTTTATAATATTTAAATAAATCAAATTTGTACATCAATAAATTCTTTATTAAAAATTCTGATTATATTTGGTATTTATTTATTTTATATCACATTCTGATATTATATCGTATATGTGTGTGTACACGCGCGCACCTGTACGCATAAAGACTATCGCAGTATAAACAAATATTATTGCCTATGAGATCTCCTATATATATTCGAGCTGCATATTAGAGCAATATCTTTCAGTACAAATGTATTTAAATATCATGTAATATATTAGCGCTATATACTTTTTTATGTAAGTATATATAAATTTTTCTACAATAGATTATATACAATATAGACGTCTTTGAGCAAAGAGGCTCCTAATAAATAAAAGATGTATATACGAATGTATATATAATTGACTATGTAAATTGTACCCAAAGGAATTTAAATAGAAAATATTGCGTTTCGCATATGCCACCAATATGAACATACGCTTTAACAAGCAACAGTGCTAAAAAAATCTACAATTATGGAATGTAAAAACAATTTAGGCACTCTTTGGCTGTTTTACATTTAAGGTAATTGTTCAACATAATTCTTTGGGACCAGTCCTGTCTTGCCATTTAGTGTACCTTCTAACCACCCAGGTTCCACAGAGGCCTTTACTGTAATTCACAATTAAAATCAGTATTCTGTAATTTTGCCTTTTTTCATAAATATAAACATAGTTAATTTTTTTATACCGTTTGTGATGATCTGATTTGGTTCAAATGATAATTCTCCGTCGTTTCCTGCTACACAGGCATATAAAGTACGAACTCTCCTAAAAAAATCAATATATTTATTCATTCATTTTTATCCTTTTTGCCGCAATCGTAATAACAGCTGTATTTACCAAATACCAGGTACTTGTCCAGGACTTGAACGTCCACTACTGGGCGATGTATTAATTCTATAAGCAAAAAATATATATTGAAAATACCGAAGAATAATAAAAACATAAATTATAAATTATATACGATTAAATACTTGTAAAGAAACATATTTACACAGATACTGGTGGATTATTTCGTTGAGGATAACCCGATGGATAATGTACAGACATCATTGAACCACGTTTTTGCTTTGCCGGCAAATCAGATTCGCTCGAGCTACTTGTGTTGCCACTTGTTAATACTGCATTTATATAACATTAATATTTGTTAAATTATGAAACATGTTGACAAACACAATATACTTTTAAAAAAATATAAAATAACCTTCATCTGCAGAATGGTACATGGCATTCATTAGTTTGACACAGCCACTTAGACTATCCAAATATGGCTGTATTCTATGACTCGGATGTTCTGTTTTTTCATAGTCTCCATTTTTCCGATCATCGATAGAAGATGATTTGGTAACAACTGCTAATGGACCATCACAGTATAATCTTGTAGTGTGCTATGTAAATAATTTAGTTTCAGTCATTATATTGCACAATTAATGAAAAATCGAATTTACATTTGAAATTATAAAATTGACTGATAAAATAACTTACGTGTCCATGTGGTGAAGACATAGTATGTACCGGGGGGTATCTCGCAAAAGAAGTACCATTACCAGAAGACGTTGATCCGTCTTCTGTACTTACACGTTGTGACCTAGAAGAAACAGTGTTTTGTGTTGAGCGCATGGTATCTTGTGGCGGACCAGCAATTATTCTTTCACAGTTTTCAATTAAAATTTCAACTACGATATTATAAAACTTAATATCCATTATAGATGCAACAGTTTCTTCTTCTGGTCTTAATAAAGACGGACCAAAACATACAGCCAAATTTCCAACAGTCATTAGATTTTTATCACTCTTTTTTGCCACGCTGCAAATATAATTGTATAAATTTTGGAAATATTCAATTATTTTTATTATGAATGTAATACAATGTGTATACATACCTACAAAGATGTCTAACAAGAAGAACTAGCATATTGAAATTTGCTTTTGGCAGCCGATAAACAAGATTATGAATGTCGCATATACGCGCTTCTTTCAAGTCTTGTTCTGTTAAAAGTTACAATAATAATAATAATAATATTAAGTACCATAGAGATATTGTTATCGATAAAACTTAAGTTAAAAATATTTATACGTGATGAAATGATAAACTGAACACTCTTAATCGGGATTACAAATAAAATAATATTATAAAGAATACCTATACGCACTCGCAGCTGAAATGAAACTGTTATAGTATCGAAAAGTCATTAGTGGTTCGGATAATGTCCTTAGATAAGTTTTCAATGCACTAGTAATAGTTTTACTTTCCCATTCGAAGCGGTTTTCGAGATTAAGTTTTTCAAGTTTCCTTCTATCTAATCCCATTGTTAATAGCTTATTTACTTTTGAAGCAACACCGACAACTCTATACAGACCTTGTTCTTCAAGGCCTAATAAGCAAATAATAAATCGATTTAAAAATATTCCATAACATAATAATCTCATAGAATATTAAGGAATGTACATTAATCTTACCCCTTTCTTCAAGCGCTGCAATACATTTTGACACAAACATGAAGCCTGTTTCATCTAAAACATTTTCTTCAGATTTTGTAGATGAACCCACTGCAGCATAATTCTAGAATTAAATATTACTATGTATTGATATTTTCTTTTCGTGCAAAATAAAAAAAGAGAGTATAATATTGAAATTCAAACACGTACTGATTCTTTACCATCCATAGCATCTAACCACAACTTTCTATCTTCTTCAGAAAGTGCTTGGAATGTGTATATTACATTAGGCCTGAAAAAAAAATAGGAAATCTATAAAATGCAATCAACAAAAAAGTCTATATTAAAGATTTACTCTATATCAAAATATTTTATAAATTGTTAATTTGGAACTGAAACTTTTTTTAATCGAGCTTTTACATTCTTGTTAACATTTCAATTCATGTAATTGATCATTTTACTAAATTTAATTTTAGATGCGTTGAAAAAAAAAGAGACGAAAAGTAGGTTATCTATCACCTACCTTAAATTCCCAAGAATGCAAAACGTATCAAACTTTGAAGAATAGACATTTAAACATAAAACATAGTATCTGATTAGATAAATGATTTAAAATTAACTATCATGTTCCAAATTCTACCGTTTAAAATACATAAGATAATACAATAATAGTTGAAAATATTATAAATAAACTTACTTATCAATGGTTGTGATGTCAAAACAGAACCGTTTTTCAATAGTGTCTGACATACGACGTATACAAGATGCTAACGTTAAAACCTCTTTGCTACTCTATTAAAACACAATATAGATGAATTTTTTAAATAATAAATTTACGCCAATTCTGTACATTCAATACCTCCACTTACAAATTTTCCAGTAAGCTGATTATATGGTATCATTGTAAATTCTTTCTTGTCCTTTTGATATGTACAATACTGCTTTGTCCATGTTGTACCAAATGCTTCTGTAAAATTAAATAGGTTTGTACATATATTTTAATTACATTAATGAAATATAGTATTGAAATTTGTACACTTACTTTTTTCCATCAAAAATAAATAACCTTCACGGGTGTACAATTTATTGACTCCACTTTCTACAGCAGACTACAAAATGAAAATAGTACTAGTATGATTGTAACATGTTACTAAAATTAATCCTTTGAAATTCGGATAAAACATACAACATACATAATCTGATTACATTAAATTGACATTTAATGATATTTATTCAATATAAAATGAATGTTATAAAGTATTTCCTCTTGTATATTGTAAACAGGAAGATATACATTAAATATAATGATATTTGTACAAAATATAATACATACCTTTTTCATATCCTTCATTTTATTCATAAGAGATTCTGTTTTATCCCGGGTAGCAAGGAAATTTTCTCTAGTCTTGTAAAACACACACACACACATAAAATTCAAAATTAGTAAGCTATTTGTCATGCTGTTATCCTAATAATATTTGCACCACACAATAATTTAGTATGGAAGTTACTCTTAAGTATTTCTACAAACAGCTTCACATTAACAACTAAATCAATCATAAAAAAAATTACTAGTATTAAAAGTATTTTAAGGTGCCACACAAGATATTGAAAAATTCCCAAATTAAATATCTCCAAATAGTCTGTAATCATTTGGAGTATGTTGTATCACATTCTTATGAGAATAATTATTTTATGATCGTTATAAAATAGTATTACTGCGTTTATTGTTTGTATAACAAAACTGAATATGAAACAAAATATTCAAATTGCGATTTACAACAAAAACGCATACTTTTCTAGCACTTTTTAATATAAATACAAAATTTATGAATAACAGAATGTGAAATAACAATATGTAACATACTTATGTAGGCATCAGCCAATTCAGTTTTAAGAGTTAGGGAGAAAATACTCGGTAGCTTAATATTAAACCAGTTGTTGGAGAGGCAGAAGAAGATTTGAGTTCAAATTCAGGCCCAGCAAATCGATTAACAAAATATTTATCTCCCTACACTTAAGTTTTATAAATCAATGTTACAGTGTATAAAGCAATTTTTTATTTTCTCAGTAGTGCCAATGTAAGTAATCTGTTTTAGAATCGTGCTTTTTTAAAATACTAATGCTTCCTTCATATATTTTTAAGCAATGAAACTTACTATAACATTGGAAACTAACCTTCTGTATTTTTAATTGTAACTCAGTCATGTAGGGCTTAAAATCTTTAGCAACTTCATGCCCTTGATGATAGAAAGTTAACCAACCAAACATAAAACCTAATAACTGAAAAAAATAATATTATTATTTATAATCCACGATAGCTCTTTATAATATATAATTTTCAATCATTTTCATTAATAAACACGTTCCGTGCCAAGCCTTTTTTGCCTGACTTGTTGTTCAGGCCATTTGATATTTTAAATAAAGAATGATATATTATCACACAATATTTCATTACATCATCAATACATAAGTAACTCTCTTTTTCTTTTGTTCTATCCTGCATTTTGTATAATCCATCATTTTTTTTGGTTGAAATGTATTTTACAGAGTTACACTTGTCATAAAATATGTTTTCAGCGTATTAAATAAATATGACTGCGTGTACCACCGGTGGTACACATGGCACAGAACGTGTTAATAAAATATTTATAAGAAAACTAACTTACAGTTTCAACAAATTCAAATTTTTTTCGTTCTTGCACTTCTTGAAGTAAGAACACATATTCTAAGCTAGCTTGACAAAAGTGTCTTTCGGCCATGTCCAGTGTCGCATCAGCCTAACATAATATATTTTAGATTAGGTGAAATAACGCATATCTTTTACTTTTATTATAATATATAAGTAATGTCTATAATACCTCCTGTAAAACATTGTCCTGTTTTTTTGTAGACAAATTTAAATATCGCTCTTGACTTTGACAAAATTTGATAGTTTGTTTTTCAAATTTCTTTTTTCCGTCCTATAAATGTATCATGTTTATACATCAATATATAATTATTAGAAATAAAAGGCTTAACTAAATTACCTTAACTCCCCCAATGTGTTCTTTCCTAAAATTTTCCAGTGGAAGTATAATTTGATCATAAGCACGTTCAAGCTAAAAACAAAATTTACTGAATTAAAAAAAAGGACATTATGAGTATATAAATCTACTTATCTAAAAGTCGAGTTTGCCCTAGATGTCAAAACAAATATATAAATAAATAAACTATAAATAATATAATGCGCATAAATTATGTGAATATATATATATATATTATCATCTATATGATATATCTGATATAAATAATAATGAAAATAATTAATATGAAAGTTAAATTGTGAAATATGCACATATAAATCAAATAATTATGTTATAAATATACAGTATTATATAAGACTCAAATGATGAATAGTATATTCTATACATTTATAAGTATTGATATATGATAAGCATTTAACACAAAGCTAAATATCACTTAAAAATGATCAAATAAGTAATTAAATAAATATTAAAAAAATAATTTAAATCATTATAAATTGTATTTCTAAATACTATTGATAATTCTAAAGATTTTTAATTGTCTGAAAAATTGTTATACTTATTTCTATTTGTTTGATACATAAATCTGAAAAAAACATGGTATAAATCAAATTATTACAATTGTATTAATAAATCAGGTATTTGAATTAGAAATATTCAAAAATTAAATATATACTAGAATTTCCAGTTTGATATAAATACATTTATGTATCAAAAGATACATACATCAGCTTATGATGTAAAGAGGAAATATGCTATTCATTAATATGTATACATTATATGAATCTCTCTTTTATGTATTTAGTATATGTTTTAAAGATTATCTGTGAATGACTAAGGATATCACAGATAATATAAAATGCTAAATATTACTAAGCACATTCCTCGTTTAAAAAATGAATGTAGATGTATGTATGTGTCCTATGTCCACACACATGCACTGGTATTGCTATAATAAAACAAGCAAAAACAACAATCTTCATTTCACTATTTGGAAAAAGATTTATTTTGCATATCAAATATCTAATATGTAGCTTACCCGTGTATTAAAGTAAAATGTTGATATATCAACAATACTAAAATTATCTAATCTGTTTTGCATTTACAAATATAAAATGCTTATAAACATTGTACCAAGATGTGTTAATACATGACAAATACATGCAATAATATATGAAATTTCTATTTGTTATTTGAAAAGGGTACTAAAGAAAATGTTGGAAGCTGTTATATAGTTTGAGGGAAAAAACTATTTATGTGCAATCAGAAATATGAAGACCTATGTACATTAAAATATGTTAATTCATTTGACTCTGAAAAATATTCAAAACAAGTAAATATAATTTAATATGCAAAACATAAGAACTTTGTTTGAAAATATGACTCAAAAGATATACCCCAAAATAACCAGGTTCAGCTCCTTCTATAACAGTACGAAGATTCTATAATAATATTTTTTTCATGACATACAGAAACCTATTTTAAACCTTTAAATGATTTATTTTAGAAATAAGCATTATGATGAATACATCTATTAATATTCAGTTATATGTATTAGTATACAATTATAATTTTCTTTAATTATTAACTATATATCAAAGTACAAGTTTTAATTTTCATATATTATATCATTTAATATTAATAAATTGAAAAATCTCAGATATTTTGACAAAAATTATTTTTATCTAAAATCATTTCTTCCAACAGATATAAAACACATTTATTTACTAAAAACATTGCATACCATGCGATCCCTTTCATCCTCTATTGATGCAATAAGTTTACCAAATTCCTTAAGGCTTTGTGATATGTGAGTTTCGTCTTCGGTTTGAGTTTCCCCAATGCATTCAAAGCTAAAATTCTGTAATGTTTTAGAAAATGCTCTCTGGGCTCTGGATAAGTCTAAAAATAATTTATTATCAACTATTATTATTACAATTACATGTTTCATATTGTTTTCATTAATTAAAATTATTTGTAATTATCATATTCATATATGCAATATCAATTATTTATAAAGTATTAAACAAACATAAAGAAATACAAGCTAATTTTTGATACATAACATTATTTCTACTTAAAGTAAATTAATAAAAGGGAAAGATAAAAATAAAATTTATCTAAGTTTCTTATCAAATGAGAAAAAAATATATTCGTCACAGAATAAAAATACATATCTAAGATATTAATTGATAACCTAAATTAAAAAAAAAAAAGTTAGTGACAACACACGGTTAATTACAAAATTGTTATATACCATAGTTTTATAAACAAGGTAAATATATTATTGAAAAACGTTAACGTAAAATTGAATAAAATGACAGCAGCTGTTACATGCGCATGCAGAAAACAATAAACTTACTTTTGGCAGCTAGTAAAAGATCTTTGACCTCTTTGATGAGTCGTTTAATCTGTTGGCTGGTGTTCTCCAATTCACGTTCATGATAATGAAGATTTTCTCGAAAGTAGGGACTATCAGTTAAGCAATCCGTAAACTCTAATGGTTTGAGGCCAACACCCATTATTCTTGATTGTATATTAAAGTTCAAATGTCATTAATAAATCAAAATAACAGAATAGACAAATCAACACTTATAACAAGTAATAAAGAATAGCAATCATTTAGTTAACAAAGACACAGTCTTTATCACAGTTAAACGTATTGAGATATCTCGCACAATAGACGTTTTTTGACATAAGGCAAAATCAATCCGTAACAATTTTCTTCTTTATTGATAGTCATGAACAACGATGCATTTTCTGAATCTTCGTTAAAGACTATGTAATACAAATCACTAGTGAGATTATATAGATAGGAATTTTATGTCGATTAATGATCACGTACTCCTCGAGTCGAATATATCAACTATATATTAAATGGCGGGATATTCAAATTAGTTTACAATTCAATTTATAACCTACAGTAACACAAAATTTCATTTTATGAATTCATTTTAAATATCAAATAATAGCATTAATACCAATTTATCACTGAAATACGATTTGTATTGCATAGACATATAAAATTATTATTCATAGGAATTACCGATTTTTTGTCAATGAACATAAACTAAAATTTCTAATAAATTTACACAAAAGTTTGTAATTATACTTGTAATATATTACTTGAAATTGTTTTTAATATGTCATTATTTAATTATTGTGCTATTTCGATTTCATTGATAAAAAAATACTGAATTTTAACCAATTATAATTCAACTAAATAATACATACATATTAACTCTAACATTTCTCCTTTACTAATGAGATACATAAAATTATGTATAATTAATTAATCATTATTACACTTATCACTTTTAGTATCATTTCAGTAATGTATAAAATTCTACAATTAGTAACATATTGAAAAAAGATAAAAGAATAGACAAAATTATAATAAATAATGATATCAAGAGTTACTATAGAAGAAAAGTGGCAAATATTTTTATATAAAAAATAATGTTTATTAAAATAAAAATACTTACTTTAGATTACAAACATTCGTACAAATTTTGGAGCAATATTTGCTTTTTTACACTAACCGAGATTCCACACATTTTTCATACACTGCTAAAAGATTTTTTTATAACATATATTGAATTTTATTCACAAATATCGATCTTCGATATAAAATATTTACATCTTGAACATAGTCTTATTATAATTTTGAACATACACAATTTATTTAAAGAATGGAGTCGTATTGACAACAAAATCTTAAGTGTTACAGTTGTACCACAAATAGAAATATATAAGATGAATAAACAAAACTACTTTTTTACGAAAAAGAAGTGATAAATCACAACAACAGTATGATCTTTAATTTAAATACAGTTATTTTTATTAAATTCAAGTAAATTATTTGAGTCACTTGCAATTTATTTCATAACAAAATTTCCTGAAAAGTTGGTTACACTTCTTAATGGTGATTCTCTTTTCCACTAATAACCTACCCAATACATTTATCCTCTTTTGACACAAAATCTGTGCTATATATAAAATATTATACTGATTGTCACGAGAGAATATACTTGTTTCGCGCATCTTGGCTGAGTTCAGAAGACTTTTCATCACTAATGTGAAGTCTTTCTACCGCTGGCTTCACACTTCGGGGTACTATATACGGTTAACAGAAATATACGAATATCAGGTAGAAGTAATGATGTAAACGAGTATACTGAATAAAAGATCACTGGATATATATACTCGGAGTTACAAATGTCACTAGAATGCATGTACATTATCCCTAGTCACAAAGCAGTCTGCGCAGCGTGAACGAAAACTCGTTATTCGATGTTATGGTTCTCTCGCAAAATACACTATAAAATACTAAATTTGCCTTTAGGGTTGTCCCGATGTTAGTCGAGTCTATGAAGTGTAAATTGAATATGTCGCTAGAGCGAAATGTGGGCAATTTTCCAGTCTATGATTGTGTGGTGTTTGTATAATAGGTTACGTTGTGTCCTAAAATGACGTTTATAACTTGTAAATATTATTTATCTGACATTAAATAATTTTTGTTGGTTATTAGGGTTGGTTGACACGTATGTTTAATATCTGTAAACTTGTATATATATTATTTATCAAGTGATATGAGGTTATGATAAAAAAATTAAGTTAAGTTACATCCTGTGTCCAATGTTTACCATAATATCACTTTTTGGATCTCTTCGAGGTAAATAACCTATTGTTGTTATTTTATTTGAAATATTAAGGTACAACTGATGTTAAGTCATAAACATTTACATAACCTCTTATATAGCGTGCTTGTTTTGACATTCGGTGAGTTCACGTTATGATTAAAACATATTCATGTATATCTATTGCTAATTTGTATATAAATATTTATTTCGATAAACTTGATTTATGATTATTGTTATTCGTTAATTCATCACTTTTTTGTACATTGATACAGTATTAAAAATCAAATGTTTGTTACAATATTTGAAAGATGAGATATGAAAGATATTAGTCTCATCAGTAAGCAAATATATGTAAAGTTTCATGTGTAAGATATTTAGTATTAACATTCATCTTATATTTCAGAAAATTATGTTACCATTTCTTATTGTATTTCTGCGTTGAATAAAACATTGTCTTTAAAGCTATTATTATTAATCATCTTTTTCTTGAATGTGTATTTGATACAGCAATTATTTGTAGTTTAATATTTCATGTAACTTTATATTTATTGAATTTAAGTAATTCAAAGTTTAAAATCTTTAATTAATATGTAAACAGCAAAACTGGCAAACTCACATATGTATTATATATAAAAATATTATTTATTTTTATACAGTACAGTTACTATTACAAATAAATATTTACAATACATAATTCGTTAATTTTGTTTCTTAAAAAGAGTATATCTATTATGATCAGTTTACAAATGACAACAAGTCTGCTAGTTAATTTTTGTTTTATGTATGTAATGAAAACATACAAAATTAATTTTTTTCATATTATTAATTTATATTTTCATTTCATTAATTTATTTTAATTAACAGGAAAATTTAATGTGATTATTTCAGCCTGTGAAGATTCATTATTGTATCAGATATGACATTAAGTGATATTAGCAATCAGAGAATAAAATGATTGGTACAGCCTGTAGTTTAGAAGATGCTTGTCGGCAGGCTCAGGTATTATTTGCAAATTGATTTCAAGTAATTTTTATAATACAACTGTAATTTTTATTATTACTTTATATAATTTAATTGATAGTATATTAATAACATTTTATATTGTGTTCCAATTGCAACATTTAAATCATACATCTTAATTTTACCAAGCATATTTATACAGTTTATTATTTTTCACACTTTTTACATAGGATATGATTAATCAGGTGTCCAAGTGTTGGAAAAATGTTCAAGGACAAAATTCTTTGAGCTTAACATCTGATAAACCATCAGTTCAGAGGAAAGAGCAAAACCATTCTAAACATAGCATTCAATCTAAATTAACTAGATTATATTTTGAAGAACTTACTAAAGTTCCTCATGCAACACCTGATTCTGTGTTGGTATGTAAAATAATTTTTGAAACATTTAATGTACAAATAGTAACTATTTAATAATACTTTTATTCACTTAAATACATAGAACAATCTTGAAAATGAGTGTGATCTTTTGGGAAGATTGGTGCAAAGAGAAAGTTTACATACATTAATTGTTAATCTCTATGCTGGTAATAAAGGATACTCATTAGCTGTAAGAAATAGGTGAGTCTTTAACATTATTTTAATATGTTCATATTGTTAAGTTATTATGTAATTTAGAAGTAAAAATTTACAATAAAATACTAATTAAATAATTTTATATAACAGTGATAAGGGAAATCAATATGATAAAAATTCAATATTAGCTGAAACACAACTGATGGGTTATGAACAGGGTGAATTGCTTTCGTGTATAGATAATGGTCAGTTGCCTGCAATGTTGGCAGAGCAACTGGAAACCAATCATTCTCATTTATTTTATGATGGCTGTATAATAGCTGAAGTTCGAGATTATCGAAAAACATTTCCTCAAACTAAAGCTGAAGTTCATCATGTACTTCTTAAACCTACAACACAAGTATGAAATTTAAACAATCTATCATTTTTTAATGAAACATACAGCTAAGAAATCTTTTCAATTGGAGAAGAATATTAAATAATTTAATGATGAATTAGTATAACATTTATCTTACTATATTTTAGAGTGTACTCTCGGACGTATCAACCTTAACTAGTGATGGAGACTGGAGCCATGAAGAACGATTAATGTTAGAATCACACTTAGTGGCGGCTACCCAAGGACCTTTATGTCTGGATCCAAATCCTATTCCTAGCTTAGCTACAACGAGACTACGGCAGTCTAAATCTCTACTTACTGATCATCAACTTATACGACAAGCCAAAAAATTTTCTCAAGTATGTTTCCATTTCAATTTTTTTAAACCAGTTAAATTATTAACTATCATTTTATTAATATATGGTCTTATTTATTCAGGTTACAGTGAATCGCAAAAGAAAATTAGAACAATTGGCACAGCCAGAAGGGCTAACAATACAAGATTTAATGCAAAAATTAAAAGCAAAAAGAGGAGTAGTTACAACCACTGCCTGTCCACCACCTTCTCTTACAAATCCCCCTTTACTTCCACCAAATACACCCATCGATGTTTTAAGGTGCATTCCAATAATCTATCATTTTAACTTGTACTATGTTTTTATATTTGTGGTGTATTTTACTAATATCATACTTCATGCAAAATAGATTCGCAAAAGCATACGAACGCCCGCGAGAAACAAAAGACTGTTTGCCACAGGTTATAGAAGAATATATATTAGAAACTGGAGGAAGTCAAGGTGAAATAGATCACATAAAGCTCTCAATTCTGCAAAGACCTTCTAATTCCGAGTACCTGGGAGAGCTTTATATGGATAAGAATCATCGTGAAGGAGAGAAAAATGGATCTGCATGCCGGTATGATTTATAATACTATTAAATCATACTTTTAGTGTATAATTATTACATTACAAAAATACATTACGATAACAAATACTTTAACCTTAATATTTTAATAGGTTTACATTAGGTACGAGAGTTTTGGCGAACCATTATATTCAGCAATTCACAGAAATATTCACGGAAGAGGGTAGAAAAAATGTTAGAATAAAACATGTTGTACCAGGGCAGGTCCCTCGTGTAACATGTACACCTGGCATGCAACGAGCACATCAACAGGTACATATTCATTTTAGAAACTTAATTTAAAATAACTTTATCTTATTTTTATTCCTTTTCATACGTTTTCAAACGTTTTTTTAGGCGCAACAAGCGAAAGCAGCGCAATTAGTTGCTCAGCATTTACAGCAAGCTCAATCTCAGCATGTGGCACAGCAGGTAGAGTAATAACTAGTTATAAAATGATTAGAATTGTTTAACGTTTATAATAAATTTAAATACGATTATTATAAGATAAATGACAGTTACAGTTATTCATAATTATTTTAGATTCTATCAAGAGCTCAAGGTCAGTTAAATACTTTAGCTGGACAAGTAGCTTCGATAAAAACCATAAGTGAAGCTACTATTTCTGCACAAAATAATTTGACGTGTGTAGATTCAGCAACTATACCACAAGTTATTGCCCAAACTGACGCTACGTCGTTAAGTCCAGGGCAATCTTTGACTAATGGCGGATCAAATGCTTCCACTTCTGTACAAATTGACAATTCTACAATGTCAGTTACTGATGGTAGTTCCTGTAACGGATCTGGAATTTTAGTTTTTCAACAAAAAGCTACCAACAACATTAATAATGCTACATCCACAAATGTTCCAGTTTTGGTAAGAATGATGTATAAGTTTTTGTAATGTGTGTTTTATTGTCATACTTAAATAGTGTTATATGTTTCTATAGCAAGCTCAGTTGCAAGCAGGTACACAAAATTGTGTTACGGAAACCGTTAATCAGAACCAAAATGAAATACCATTTAAAAAGCACTCTACCAATCCAGCAATAACTGCTCTTGTAACATCTCTTATGAATTCTGCTCAACAATTTCAACAACAAGCTGCAGGTTTGTAATGAGATTGATATACTATGATACAAAGGAAAAAAATATATTCCACAGTAAACAATTTGTTTAAACGAATTTTTAGCGAATGCTGCTGCTGCTGCTATGAATAGTAATACACAAACTCCAAATAAATCAAATAATGCTGCGATTCTTAGTTTGTTAAATAGTAGTCCTGCCAATTTAACTCAGCAAAAGGTTCAACCGCGAAGGATCTCATTGAATGCTTCCATCCCATCTAGAGTTTTTAGTCATGGAAACGTTATTAATGTCCCTAATACCACTGGACAGGTAAATAAATTATAATTGTGTATTTCGAAAATTATTGCAAATTTCTAAAAAATGTATTTTTTAGGTAAGGGTAAGTTTAAGTTCCACTTTAACGGGGCAATTAGGTTGTAAACAACAACCAGTGAAAGCAACAGCTGTCAGATTAGCTCGCGTGCAAGATCCTACTTCGACGCTTGGGTTATCGATGCCAGGACTCTCAGCACTATTAGCAGGTACATTTTGTAAACTTTGATGTAACCTAACTTAATCTTACTATATTAATGAGTTTGCTTAAGTGCTACATTTGAATAAATCCAAAATATTGAAATCTGTTATTTTATTTATCAGGGACACCGTCTGCGGATAATCCAATACCAGGAATCAATTCTGGGTCTTCTTTATTAGAACGATTAACTGCTTCTTCCAGTCAAAATAATCAGTCTGCGGCTCCAATGACTACCCCACCATCTACTAATGTAAACTTGCAGGGTGTAAATCTTACTAGTCTATCAAATTCTATCAACGGTCTCCAAAATGTTCAGGTTGTGAAAAGTTGCTTGTCTGTTGTATAATGTAGTAGATGAGTTGTTGCTATGTATTCTATTGTAACAGGTATCATTTCCCGGATTATCACAACCCATTACAATGTCACTAAATGTATCGGCAACGACAGGTTCTGTTACACCTACAGGAGTGATTGTTTCTTTGCCTATATCTTCTGCAACCAATACTTGCACTACAGTTTCTAGTGTTAGTTTTCTTTTTGTATTTTACATATCTATACATATACTCCAATATATGATATACATCAGATTAAAAAAAAATATTGTTTTTGTTTAGATGGTAGCTACTACAGTTGTTACAACAGCTATTGCTGGAAGTACGCCGACGGTAGTAATAGCTAATCCTGCTAATGCTCATTTATCATTACCGATTGGTAAGACTTAATGATTTACTTAAAAAGATGAGTGAATATTCCTGTTTAATTTACAATAAAGAATTCAATATACTATCACAATATATTAATATTTTAGCCCAGATAATACCTTCTGGAGTCAAAGGATTATCGCAACAAAATATACGTAGCAGCAATTCTGTCACTCTTTCACAGGTATATATTCAGATATACTCAAAGAAAAAACTTGATTAACAATTTAAATTTTACAATTTCCCAGATATCAAAATATCTTTTTCGTTTTTTAGGGTGGCCAAGCAATTCAGCTTGTTGGATCTCAAAGGCCAAGACTTAATCATATGACTCGTCAAGTACAACCAAATCAAGTTAAGTCAACTGTTTTACCAAATCAGTTAGTAACTGTGGCTAAGACAGTTACAGCAAGTCAGTTAATATTATCTGGTAACAAACAGGTGTTAACTCCTATAATGGGTAAGTTATCCTCGACATGTTACAGTAGAGAGATATTCATTTTGTAACATTAGCATTGTAGGCACGTTCGCTTTTTATTATCATTTTTTATCTTGTTTAGATTTAAAAAAAAACGGAATTACGTGTTTCTACGATAAATACAGAAATTACAAAAATGTTTTGTTTATAGCAGCAACGAAACCAGTGCTTATGACATCCCAGACAACACCTTCTTCCCAAGTAGTACCTGCAAATAAACAAACTTTATTGACAAAATCATTGCACGCTAGAGCTTCTACAGGACACTGCAGTCAACAAACTCAAAGTCTTGGAGTAGCAACATTATCGCAGCAACAAGTATGTGCAATATACTTGCTGATATAAATATTATAATTCAGACAATTTTTACACAGTATATTCTTTTTGTAGTTACAAAGAACTCTTGTTAAACCTGTCCAACTCCAACAGTTGCAGTGTTTAGCTGCACAACACAAAGTAGCTGTTGCAACCGGTAATGCGCAAAATAGAACTCAAATTGAGTCTCAGAGAACTTCTACATCTGCTCCTGGGGAAGATCCAGCCTGAATATGTTCAAATAATTAATAATGTTTCACAATACATTTAAATAATTGAAGCCTGCCGAGAAGGGATGTAATGGGGTGTTTGTATATTATGTTAATGTGACATTTATTAATTTTAATCATGCACGCGAAGATAATTGTAAATTATGAAATTTCTATTCGTGTTTAATCGATGTTTATCAATGAAAACATATTTTATAAAACTCAACGTAGTTCATATTTTTGTGCCTATGTGCAATAAATTATTTCCATGAAAATGTATTTTGCCTCAAAATGTACTTGATGGCGGTTTCAATTATTGTACATATAACTTATATATATATACATACATATATATATATATATATATATATGACATGATTTGTTTTATATTAAAAAATATAATAAATATTCCATTTTTTATTGATCTTTTCCCTTTTTCAAATTATTCATTTAATTATAAAATTGTTTAATGTTCTATTTTTTATATAAAAAATATAATTGGTAAATTATAACCACTATAATACCGATCACTTAGTTTACTGATTATAGGGTATGTAAAAAATTTTCTTTGTTGCAATGATTTTATTTCATTAATTACATGTGTAATCAAAACATATTATAATCTAATTTACACAAAGACCATTTTAAATAACTATTTCCAGCAGTTTTTGCAAATGTAAATACTGAAACTATTTATAAGAATGTCTTGCGATTTGCTATGAACAAAATATCACATTATAGAGAAAAAATCGAATTTATAAATTACTAATTTTATACGAAAATATTGGAAAGAGACGAAGATATAGAAAGTTGACTAGTGAAAATATTAAGTGTTCCATTTTGTCCAAAGTAATAGTTATAATCAAAATTTGACAATAATCTTAATGTCCAATTTCAAAAAATAAAATAATAGTAAAAATATAGAAATGTTTTTCTATTTAAATAGATAATAGTTAATGACATATGTAACAGTTATAAAATTATAATGAAACATGCATTTTTTACATAACTATTGCATCAATATTTTATCACATAATACATACGCATATAAATGTAACATTTTAAAAATATTTACTAATCATGACTTCTTTATGTGTTATTTAAAGCATAATTTAGTACAAAATTAATTACCTAAATTGTGCTGTTTAATTGTTGTTATAAAGCATTTATCGTACAAGAGCAATCAGCGCATTATGTTTCTAACACATACAAAACAACCTATTCGATAACCGTAATTAGTATAGTTATCCTCAACAATGATTATGTCAATAATAAACAATATAAAAATTTTATCTGTTAATTGGCATTCAGTTCCAGCTGTATGCGATCAAAAAGTGTATTTCCCTACTCTAATTTATATAGCTAATTTCATCATTCCACTAAATGTTTATCACAAGATGTAGTTGTATAAATAATTTGGTAACATTCCATTTGTTTATAAAAATATTTACATAGAATATTTCCTCTTCTCCTTTATAAAAATGTAACAAAAAATTGATAAAATAACTTAGTTAACAGTAAGTGTTAATGCTTCGTATTAATTAACCTATTGTACTTAATATTTACATTTTCAAACAGTAAATTAACGTGAAATTAGAGTAGAGATAGATTTTTGTATTATATAATGTACATTTTTTCTATAATCAGTCTCTTTTTCGGAGATCTACCAATACCTGCCTTGCAAGTATGTACTAACAATATTAATCTTTTCCTATCAGATTTCATTAACAATAAAATACTGTGTATGCTCTGCTGAAGATACACATCGCTTCTTTATACGTTATTTGTACTGTATCTTGCTTGCATTTATCAGTGCATAACACAGATTATAAATTACAACTTCTTTCTTATAAAACTAACCAATTTCATATATCTATCTTTTGACTTTTTCAAATAATATTTCTAAAGCGTTGTAAAAATTTATCAATATTGAGCATCGGTAATAATTCTTCTCACTATAATCTCATCAATATCATTGACTACAGAAATATGCACACACTCCATGATATTGACTATAAATATAACGCACTCATACATCATTCCATTAATTATTAAAAATTCTTTTATCTTAAATCTTCAATAATGGTTAATCTATTTCTGTCGCACTATTGGGTGTACTAGTAATCTTTGTAGTTTGAAAATCTTTACTTATTTCCCATTCACTTTCTGGATCAGAAGAAGTATTCAAACCGCCCAAAATATCATCTTCAAAAGATATTTCTGATAAGTTTTCTAGACTCTGTTCATTTCCGTCCGTAAATAGAGATTCGGTAACAGCTATAACAAATTGTTTGAATTATACATACAATACTTTACATGTAACAAAATCATCAATAATTAATATATACAATAAATTACCGTCATTAAACGTATGCTGAGATATCCATGAAGGTTCATCCCATTCATCAAACTGTAATTTTGTATTATTTTCTATCTCATCCGCAGATAACATTGTATGAGAATCTGCATCTGTAACATCAAATATTTCCGTCACCTGCACCTTGTTATTCTCATCCATGTAATAATATGCCATCACCGCTTCTTGTTCAGAAGTGACCTATACATTAAAAAACATGTTAATAAATGTTAATATTAAAATTAATAAATAATATTTTACCACGTACTTGCAAAATATTTTCGAACGTATCATCAACAGTTGAAAGATCGGACATATTTATAACACAATTTGATTTATTATTATGGTCCTTCCAGGGTTGTCTAGAAAATAAAGTAATGAATTACAATAATTATTGATTACAAAATTTAAAAACATTCAGACTTATAAGCTTACAATTCATTATACTGCAATGTTAAATTCAGATTCTTTTTACTCTTATATAAATTGTCAGTCTTTTCTATTTCTTCCATATTATATATATCTGAAACGTGTGAATAATAAGTTATACACATATTATAAAATAGCTGTGCATTTATAACAACAAATCGCAGAAAACATTCCACTTACTTGATCCATATTCTGTGATAGCTAATTGACATTTGATAGTTTGTGGCATTTGCTGATAATATACGTTAATTTTGGGAAATATTGTACTTAATTGGTTCAAGAAGAATGTTCGTAATTCTAACAAATTTCTTCGCAATTTGGGAACATTCAAAATAAATCTGAAAATAAAATAATAAACAAAGTGAAAAATACTGTGTAACAAACAGAACTATATAAGCAAACAATTATTACTTTGTAACGAATATAATCATACGCGCATCTCAGGACACGCATATACCAAAATAAGCAAATTTTTTTTAAAAGCGTTCGATAAATTTTGAAAAAATGAAAATTTTATAATAATTGATTACATATACATTAATGAATAGGAATTACACAATTTTTTACTACAAAAGAGAAATCTTCTATTTTCCAATGTACATGTACAAAAATAAATTTCATTTTTCTTAAAAGCGTGTGCTTACCGAGAAATTGTTATATATTTAGTTCTAGAAATCATCTGCGGTCGTCTAAGAAGAATATTGCCAATTACTTTGTACTCCAAGGAACGAGTTTCTATGTTGTTACCAATCATACTATGTAACCACATGCATAGTGTTAAGAATAGGATAGTAAATCATAAAAGCAACTATTAAAGATTATGTAAACATACAAGCACAATACATGAATTCCTTATTTTGCATAAATAGGTCAATCTTATATAATTATATTTGAAATAAACCGTAAAATAATAACAATGTTTAAAACGGGATAATTTTTGGTTACTTTAATAATAAATAATATTCTAAGTTTTTTTATTGAACACTGATTTCTTAAATTAAGAACGTACAGAATAATATTTGTTAGGTATCTTTGAATTCAATATGCTTGATTTCACATAAGAGTTAGTAAGCATTTTCCTTGAAAGATATAATTGTTAGTTTAAGAGCATGCAATTTTAAGCAAGCGATAATTCATGCATATTACTTTTATATATTACTAGAAGAATTTCGTTAAAAAGTAGAATGTAAAAGATAATAATAAAATGCTTACTTGGTGAAAGTTGCATATACTACATCTACTGGTAACGTATATGGTAAGCTAAGCAGTGACAGAAGTTTTACACTTTTATGTTTGAATAACCAGTTAATAAGCCCTTTATTGGCAGAATCAATTGCATCTTGAAATATAGTCATAACTGTCTCAGGCAAATTTGATACCAATGCTTCCTACAACATGTTTTTAGAATATAGTATATATTCTTTTTATCATAAAACAACATAATTTATATGAAAAGTAATTATACCTGTCTATGCATTTTACATTCTAAACATTCAGGATCATAATCTATATTATCATCAAGAGTTTCTGAGACAACAAATGTGGACTGTACTGCAAGACATCGAGTACAATTAAGTAAATTATTGCGATGAAGAAATCTTAATGCATCATCAAATCCTTGTTTACACATATTTGAAAGGATCTGCAATGTGTACAAATTTTTATATATTGTATGTAATTACAGTAATTACGTTTCAATAATTCTATCTTTATATATTATTAATACTCATAATAAATGTTAGTAACAGTAAGAATAGCAGTACTACATAAAATCCAACTCTGATTTTTACTTTATATAGAAGAGTATAAAAGTATGCAACATATTTTTCATAGATAATTTTATTATAAGTTGTGAAATCTTACCTCAGGATTAGGTGGAAACAGTATTCTTGCAAATCTATATATATTTTGTTTTGAAAGTTCTATACTTGTATTTGCAAAATTTACCTGTAAATTATAAATATTTGATTAATATCCTTTACATATATATTTAGTTATAGAGATGTTGATCAACTGTAGGTAACTCACATGAAACAATTGAGAAGAAACATCCCTTGGACAAATATCACTTTCACCACAGAATGGACTAACAGTAATTGTATTTTCATCTAGTGTAGGAAGATTGTCACTGAAACCACCATCCATGTATCTAACACCATGGAAACGGGGTGGTAAAAGACCAGAAAAGATAGGAATAAATGCACTTGCTAACAAGGCCTGAAAAACATACATTTTAATATATTATTATATTATTTAAAACAATTATAAAAACATGTAAATATAAATAAAACTTTCTTACCTGTAATAAATCTTCCCTAGAAGAAAACTGTGACACAATTACATTTTTTCCATCGTATACTCTGGTCAAGGATATATGTAATTTACCACTTACTCGAATGTGGGCATCATTTGGGAGGAACTACAACAAATATTAATCTTAATAATATAATAATTTCAATGAAAATAGTTTTACATTCTATATTACATTTATATCTCATTAACAGCTATCTATAAGAACCACATCTATTGGCATAACTAGAATTTTGTTTGAAGTAAAGAAGATCCATTACTAATAATACAAAATATCTGGTATTGCTTAACTTTAACAAAGCTTCTATTGATAGTTTTACGTAATAACAATATTATTGTATATTTTGTATTTAGTTCCAAGAAGCGATATCACTAAACGCAGCGATATAACACGCGGTAATCTAACGTGTGACACAACACGAATAATGGAACCCTGCCTCTTATCTAGTCACGCCAATAACAAGTATATTATGCATATTAAAATGTCACAAAATTTACATTAAAATATTGCTGATAAACAAGTACCTTTTGTAAACTTTCTAACAATATTTCTTGAACATTAAACGATGGACTAAATGGACCGAGAGTACGCTGTCGTGCCTCGCGTGCAACACGTAAGACATTACTTGTAATTTCCCCTGTAATATAATCACATATTACAATTAATATACAAAAAAAATAATGAATTATAATATGAAACAGACTGCTATGATTGTATGATATCTCCATTAATCATATTTGAAAAGTGCAATGTCGAATTGATTAAATATTTAATCTCTAATGAAATTGATAAGTTCTTTTAACTGTATGAGGTGATTGCTTGTAATCTAAGAGCGATTTTATCTTAAGAGATGAAGAAATTTAGCAGAACGAACAAGAAATAGAATTTCCAGAAAGACCGTTGACACTCATGTTTTCATCTTTCCTGTTTATTCTTAAATTAAATACAAATGTTATGATATAAATACTAAAGATTGTCATATATTTGACAGTACTCTATTGGTCAAATTATATCGTATCATGTTGAGCGAAAGCACGGAAAATGTAATTTACGGTATGACTTATCCCTAGTGGGCTACACTTTATTGAACTTCCGTTATGCAAACTGAAAGCATACCTTTGGTTCATTTTTTACGGCATCACCGCAGTAAATACAAATAGTCTATTCATAAGACCGTTCAAGGTGAACATGTTACTGTCAAGGAATATATTATTGGTGTGACAAACCAAACTCAAAAAAATAAATTGGAAGTCATTTAAAACCTAGTCATCCCAACTAATATATTTATTTATTCAAATTTTGCCATTTCCTGTGCATTATATTCCCGGTAAATGACGTAATTTTGCCATCAAGAAAAATACAACGAAACTTCACACGTGTCAAGCTAAAGTCAATGTTCAATAGAAAAAAGGTTTCATTAAGTAATTTACATGATGGCCAATGAAACATCGCGTAATGCGAATTTTTTATATTTTCTATAAAAAAATGTACTTGTAATACTTGGATAAAAAAAACGATTACGACATTGCAATTTTAACGTTGCATGGTGCCATTCACTTTCGGTATACGCGTGATACCTGTTTGTGCAATGCAAGCATAATATGAAACTACAGAATCAGTAAACTGAAAAGACGATGATATCCATTGCGTGTATTTAATAATTTATGAAAATATATAATACAAAATATTTATATTTTTATATTAAAATCGACGGTTTTTATAATAAAAACATTTCACTAATACAAAAGATATCTTTTCAAAAAAATTGTTTATTAGATAAAGAAATTCTGAGTAGTCTATCATAGATCGTCGTTCTATTTTGATTTCACGGATTTCGTATGTTACATTGTATAAATTGGATAAGTTTTATGTACATATGTACACTGTTATCTATTACTGCACGAGTCAGCATTGCCTTGCTACAAAACAAATATTCCTTTGTTTGCCTTAGATACAACCGCTTCCTTTATTGATGCTGTACACATCAGAAGAGAGTCGAGTTTACTTTCTGATTAAAACGCTTTGACATCGGCCCCATGGTAAATATAAATATTATAAAACAGGTTATAACAATATAATTTATGATCTCGACGAATTATAATAACAATAGAACGGGTAGAAGAGTATAGTATTTGATTTCTGAAAAGATTTACAATCACGCTATATCACGTGACTATACTTTATTAATACCTGCATTGCATTATCCTATCAGATATTTAAAGATATCGTTTAGACTTTAACCGCATCACCGATAATACGAAATCTGTAGAATAAAAACAAATTTTTTATCGATGACTGCATTGCAAAATTTACTGACATTTTTAATTCGTCTGATTACGAACGTTCTTAGGTCGTGGTATTTTCTGGCCCTCTTTAAATTCCTTAGATACTTTCTAGAGCACACTGACGTAACTAGCTAAGAACCTCGAGGTCTTCCAAATACGAAATGACCTTCTTCACATAAGAGACACAGCTTAAGAATTCACATACCTCATATCATAATTTAAAAATTGTCAACTTCAGTTCCTAAATTTACAAGTTTCATTGATGAAAAGTCAGTATCAAGTTAGTAATAGAATATGATAATGCAACAAAATTAGAATAAGTAGTAAAAGTCAATGAAAACAACCGCGATGACCTCGAAGAGAATAGTTGACCCTCTTAAGGGTCACGATCCATAGGTTGAGAACCGCTACACTATAATATCCTAAATTACGTGCTACAACTAATACGGATATATCTAATTGGCGCAAAACATGATGCGCATCTTGCGCGCGCGCTACGCAGTTTATTGCACTAGCGTATGTAAGTATACACGACCTTAAACGTTTTTCTACAAAACAGTCTCGCATGGTAAAAATGTTTGCGTCATAGATTATGTACATTCGATGATTATGGGATGCTGCTGCGCATCGACCGATACAAGTATCAACAAGTGATTCGTACATACGACTATTAATCATGCACAATAACTTCTGAGAATGCAATAAAACGATTAGAGTACAACGCAAGAGGCACGATTAGATAGCGGCGAAATATATTGCTAAAATAGATCCTGTCAAGCAGTTTAATCTCGTTTAAATGCTCGCGAAAAAAAGACTACCAGATTAAATAAATTTGAAACGGGAGCAATTAATTTTTCAAACGAGACGGCCGATTCCTTTGTTATAACAAATATGCGTGTATAAAATGAAATTCAGAAAAAGAGAAACAAGTGTACACGATAGAGATAAATCCTCACGCAATACATCTGAATCATCGTTTGATACGATATGGAAATAGCGGAATTCGCTTTTGTTCATTCTACACTAATTAACCCATTAATTCGCAGAGGTCATAAATAGAGTAGTTTCGAGATAACAGTTTTTATTACAAACAAACATATGTGCAAATAGATTAATATGTTTGCTGCAGTTCACTCTACATTTGGTCACGCGATATCGCGTGTCGAAATCATATTCCAAGGCCCCTGAAACTTTTGTGGACGTAAATCCACTTTTGAGAATAATTTTTTTGATTTATAATATATTATATCTTGATCACTAAAATTTCCAAGATCCCAAAATGTCAAAGCATTAAAATCCAAAAATTTTAATATTCCAAAGTTTCACAAGTCCCAAAAATTCCAAAGTTCTAAAAATCAATGGTCCCAGAATTCTAAAGTTCATTTCGAAGTTGTGAATTTAAAAAGTTTCAAAATCCCAAAAAACAAGCATTCTCTTTTCAGTGTTTTGGAACTAACCGTCCCTGAACCCGGGTAACGGTTAACTTTCGTGGAAATCGTGTTTATTTAAAATAACTATGACGCTAGGAATATTTACTGATGACAGAAAATAGTAAAAGAATAATAATTTATAACCATAAATGCATAACAAAGTGTGTACTCACAACTTTGAATGTTAATAGGTTAAAAGTGTTTAACGTTCGACTCATAACACGAATATCATACACTGTTACCCAAGCATTGCGTATGTAAATTGTGTATATCTACAATCGAGGCACAGAAAATGTGTCAAATGATAGTCTTGCTTGGTAGTAAACAGAAATGTATGTAGATAAAAGGTAAAACGATGTATAAGTGATAATCGAAAGAATTTGTCAAGTTGTTTTCATCGTATATTTTAATCGGATGTTTCTGTAACGCTATCTGCGTTCTCATGCTCCCTGTAGATCATATGTACGTCCGTGTTTTCATTTGAACTTATATAAAACATGTTTATCCGCATTTTGTATGTACGCATTATTTTTCCGGTATTTACGTGTTTTTTAAGAACTGCTAAAATTACGACGATTTGTTTGTTTGATGCTTTTATTAAGTGAGATATTTTGGTAATTAATATAATTTAAAAAATGTTTAATTATAAATCAGAAATATGTTTTGAATTACGGGAGCAACGGATCTCTGGTCCGTAATGCATCATATGGCAAATTACATGTAAGCTCGGTGACTTCTATTCGGTGCTTACTGCATAACTATTTATAGACATAGATGCAGGAAATTATTAATTAATATTTACTGTGTACTTTCTACATATACTTATAACTATATCATAATTTTATATGACAAATCAATTTTAGATTTTACATTCAACAAGAAATATTTGTTTATAAAATTAACGAATCAATAATAAAATATTTATTAACAAAATTTATTTCATAAATTTGTCTCGCTGATTAATTTGAATATGAAACTTAACAAATGTTTAAATTATTACTAAAACAAAGGATATTTTTCTTTTGTGCAAACTGATAAATTCTTATCATGGTAAAAAATGTTCAGTAGTGTGTAATATAACTCATGCTAATATGTCTATTATAATTGCTCACATTGTGTTATATTTTATTACCAGTATTACTCACAAAGAAAAACATTTGATAACTGTTCTTATTACTACTTCCACTTTAAATCTCGTAAGTTTGACCTACATACGAGAATTATTAGCAAAATGACCAAATTTATAGAATATTTACATTCATTTGAAAATTGTAGTTTTCCATTTTATATTTAATTATAAACCTGATTAATTATAAATGTCTTCAATTTCTAAATTGATAATCCTACAAAATTCCCAAATTTACCATCAATATGCATCGGCCATACAATATTGCGAATATCGTCAATATGTATATTGACAATTTGTGATTCCCATAAGATTTTGATGAATGACATTAAAGACAAGTAAAGATATTTGCAGTTTAATTACGATGTGAAATTATTGGTACACTGACAATAATTTGTTCAACGGTATGCGCAATGAATACAAAACGTGAGATGTACAATATCGGAAACCATAAAATCGAATCATAACATTGAAAAAACTAATTGCTCAAGATAATATATATCTATTAGATATATAAACAAAGGAGTTCACTCACCGAGGGGTAAATCACAAAGAAGACAACAAGCAGCGATAGCACCAGCCGATGCACCACTAATCTTATCCAAAAGCAAGTGTGGAGCGTATTTCTTGAAGCACACTGCCACACCAACGTGGTAAATACCAAGGAAACCACAGCCAGCAAACGATAAATTCATTTCGGAATTCTCTTTTATGTTATATTGTTTGTTATTGCCCTGTTTATATTGATTATCGGGAATAATCGTACAACAGATAAAAAAATAAATACTGATTTCCTTTCTACGGCACTATGAACATCACTTGCAAAGAAAGCGCTTTACACGACGTACTTCACGCGACGTCTAAGTTCGAACTATCTGTAGTAGTCCTTGTTCGCCAACAACAACAGCCTTCCGAAACACTCGAGCGTAATCTTGAGTATGATTGAGAAAAATACATGTTACAAACAGCGAAAGAGATAATACACGTTTAATGACGTACGGTTTGTAAATACTTAATGAGCTGCTCATTGGTTGGCAATGATGGTGTGGTGATAGCTCCGCCCACTTCAGTGTTCTTAAACTCATTCATTGTGATGTAGTCCTCTGGATACATATGTTTCTTTCCCGATAAAACGAAGTATTTCCACGTATCTATCATAGAGGGCGCATCTAGCTGTAGAAAGAGAAATCATACTCAGTTCATGCAAAGCGGTTGATTTCAATATATCACTAATTTCAATTATTATCCTGCTATCACACTATTCTTTCCACTTTATCGGTCATTCGCTTGGCGGACAAAATATACAAATACGAAGAGGAGACATAAACTAGATATAACTCTAGTAGTTTGAACATTTAGGAATTTAAAAATTGACAAACGTAGAAATTTGAAAAATTAGGACACCAAGTATACACGTTTGACATCGGCACATCGCTTACAAAACATACGCGAACCAATCACAACTAACATGCGCAGAATTAAACTCAGTAAGTATATAAACAATATTCTTCTAATAACACATTAAATATAATTTAATAATTTTGTAAGTAAATAGGGTAGATTTTTATAAAAACGAATATTTTTTTTATACTTATATTATATTGAAAATATTACATTTTATGTATAAGTAAATAACACATGTATCGCAAGAATAATCAAGAACTATTTGACTTGTATATTTAAATTTATTTAAAATTACATCATAATTTAGATAGTAATTATCTGACGTAAAAAACAATACGACTATTTTTATTATGTATTTAGGAAATAGAAAAACTTTAATTAAATACGCGCCAATTTATATTATTTCTGATTTCCAACAAGAGAACAGCTTTTAACCGAACAGTCGTTTGATTTATAATAAACAATTGTTAATTGGTTAAAATGTTAAGTCTATAGCGATTGGTACATACAGATTTAGACTTAATTAGTACCCATACTAAACAGTTAAAAGGATTTAGCTGTAAGTAGTTAATTTATATTTGATATTCAACATTTCGTGCGTAGAAGGTAACTGTTTTTTGCAAATTTGTATTAGGTTACTCAATATAAACTAATACTTTTCTAATATGCAGATAAAGAATAAATATAATTTTGTTTCATATTGTAAATAATAAATTTGAATATGTACGTTTACACATTCAATACAAATATGCATTTGAGATTATTGGTTGATGTCTTCAATTCTGTTTAGGATTGGTTGTTTTCGTAAATGACAGTTACATACGAATTGACAGGTTTTTGTTTTAAAAATATAACATTCTATTATAAATTATCAAATTTGTATGAACATCCGTGACACGTGTCATTTTTGAATTTTCACGTAGTTATTTATTATTTTAAGAATAAGTGTAATCTTAAATCAACCGTTTACTTAATTGTATAGGTTTGACATATTTTTGAAAACTTATTTTTATAAGAAATTTATTAAATCATTTTAGTTTTATAAGTAGTGTGATTAATTTGTTAAAAGCAATTGAAAATGATTATTTCATGTTTAAAAAAAGTTATTTTTGTGAACGACGTAGATACGCGTTCATTATAAACTATAAAATAAATATTTGCTCATTTGACTTATTTAAGAAAAAAAGATGTTATTTATATTTAAATTTCTGTTGAAATACAGTGTTTACAGAATTTGAAATATATTGAAGTGAAAGATTTAATGTGTTGTTTGACACTTTCTAATTTGACACATAACCAATAAATGTCTGTACAGGTTGAAGTAAAAAATAAAACGAAGTAACAATGGGCGAAAACGAACAGTCGTCGTCAACATTAAATACGACTTATGGGAATTCTACTTTGTCAAACGAAACAATTTTTCATGCTGTATATATACCTGAAGAAAATGATTATTTAGCAGAGAATGATTCAAAAAGTACTATGAAAATATAATTATTTATACATATTAATTCCACTTTTCCTTTTTAATTTCTTCATATGTTTTATATTTAAATATTACAGAAAATATTCGAGTTTATCAAGATAAAGCTGAAGCTTTAAAAGTAATTAAAGAATTTAAAACTGGTCGTTTGAAATCATTTAAGAAACGATCAGAAGCTGAAGAATATGCAAAGACTGGTTTTGAAAAAATAAATTCTGTTAATAATACTTTATTACCGTCAACTGTACCTGTAGTAGAGGAAAAGTCATGTAATTTTAAAGCTCCACGATCTCAGGATCTAGTATGTTTTAGAAAATTAATTAAAGATGGAGATTTATATGCTGTAAAGACTACAATATGGGGAAATCCAAGATATTTAATTGGTAGTGGTGATACTCCTGCAATTTTACAAGTAAGATACAATATTATGAATGTTATATTCATACTTGAGCAAATTAAACATTTAAATTTTATTTTCATTATAGGAGGGATGTCGATATAATGCATTACATATTGCAGTCAAAGCAGATAGACCAGATATGTGTGAGTTAATATTAAACACTGTTGGAAATACGGAATACATAAAGTTACTTTATGGTGATGAATGCAAAAGTTATGTGGATCGTGCACAGATTCTGTTAGATCTATACCTAAATACGCCTGATAAAGGATTAAATGAAACTCCATTACATTTTGCTGTTAAATTTGGACTGAAAGATGTAGTTCGAGTTCTTGTTTCATATCCGTGCTGTATAAAAACATTGCCAAATAAATACAAACAACTACCAGTAGATGTATGTGATACAATAATTACATATATATTTTTTACATTATGTATTTTCCAAAATACAATAGTGTCTTGCTAGTGGTCACAGATTTAAGACTTTATCATAATTATTAACTGTACAAGTAAGATGTTCTACTACTAAATGAACAAAACTGTGATTACTAGTTGGGTATTACTGTGTACAGTATAACTATGTGCTCAGTAGAAGTGGAAAAAATTGTGGAAAAAACTATATAAATAAAACTCTTGAAGCTTTCAAATGTAAAAGTTTATAAATTTAGATTTAAAAATTTCAACATTAATATTTTCTGAAGTTAAGAACTTATTAATTTGAAATTTCTAATTTTCTTTTTGTTCTAATCTATTTGGAGCTATATAGTGCAACTTACTGTATATAAATGCAATTAATTTTTATTGATCTATTTTCTGTACAAAATTACCTTATACTTCTATTATTGTTATAGATAATTTGCAGTAGAGCCTGTCAAGACGATACAGAATTAAAAAAAGAGATATGTTTATTATTGGAAGAACAGTATTATGTACCTGTATTAAGAGCAGATGATAATTCATTTCAGCCTATCATTGGAGAACCTTTTTCTCCAACTAAACCTTTGGTATGTTAGCATTCTTAAATTTATGTTGTGAGAAGTTTTATAAATAATTTTTTTTATAGAATTTAAGTACGGATCCAATTAGTCCACGTTTAGAGGTACGCGCATTTGCGGGACCAATGACAAAGTCTCGTGCAGTAGAATTTCGAAAAAAATGGAAAACTCCTCCGCGTTCTCACATCAACTCGATTAGAAACGTAATTGATAATGAATCTAATACTACAGACAGTCCAGTCAATAACTTGACTTTAAGGCTTCAAGATACAGAGAAAGGACTTGAACGGGTTGGAAGGTACATTTTATTACTAATTTTTATATTAGATGTGTTGTAATCATCATACATTTATAGGTTTTTTGAATGAAATAAAAATTGAAATTCAGTATATAATTTTTAGGGATTTAGCAGAAGAATACAAAGTACCATGGAAAGAATATTGGCCATTTTTAAATGATTTCGCAGATTTTCGTACTACAGCAGGTTTAATGAAACTTGAAAAATATTTAGAACACAAGTTTCAATTACTTTATTATAGTCAGGTATAAAAAATTCGAAAATAATTTTTTTATAATTATTGTTACATGTCACGTACAATTTCTTTATAGAACTCAAATAATGAAGTAACAGATTCAAATTTAAATGCGGAAACAAAAGAGGAACTAATTCATGAAATAGATCATTTATGCAATGAATTACAATCATGTACATTGTTTAATACAGATAATCAAGACGAAAATAATGTTGGTATGTATTAATTTCTTTCTTTTTACGAAAATTTATGTTAAATTATACACTGAAAATTAATATAAAATGGTACCATTTTAAGAGGAACTAGAATTTTTTACACCACCGTCATCGCCAAAATTAACTGTAGATAGTTCTGATGATGAAATGGAAATTGCAGAAGAAGGTCCTGGTATATTTCTTGAGGGGTAATAACATATAGATAAACCATTTTTTAATTAAATTAATATTTTCTGTGTACAATAAATTATTTATTATACATACATAGAATATTTTATATAATATTGTATATTCTCTAGATTTATACCAACAAAACTGGATTATGCTGTTTATAATGCGGTACCATTATCACTTAATTCCAATACATATCCAAACATTTATCGTTGGCAACATGACATGCACCTTATTATGAAACCTGATTTACACAGGTAACAATACTTTTTACATTTTGTTTTATATTCAACCATAACGCTAAAACTTTTGTTCTCTGTGTATGTGTCTGTATATATGTAGATATATATATGTATATATATATATACATATCATTAACCATTAATACAATTTGCTATTTTTTATTTCAGAAAAAGTAATCTAAGGATAGTAAAAAAGAAATTGATGATGACCTTCTAGGTACGTGAAATATGAAAGTGTCGAGCAGTGTATAAAAATAAAACTGTATAAAATTTTTATATTATGCACAACAAATTATGCGTTAAATAATATTAGTATACTTCAAAACTTATTAGATATACTAAAAACAGTATATTTTCAGAAAATTTTATATGATAACTGAAGAAAATGATTAAAATAATTTACGAAATTTTATATATTAAAATTTTTGTTTTTATTTTCAATGAAAGAATAATCACACATTTTATTTTTTAAATTTGGTATTTATAGAGATACTTGTCATTAATAACTTTTATTCACAGTAACATTACATATTTTTGCTTGGCAGATCATTTATGATCCTTTTTTCAAATTATATTGTAATTTGTGTTTACTGTTCTTTCATTTAATATGTTTGATATTATATATATGTATATGTATGTATGTATATATATATATATATATCTATGATTCATACCAAATTAATTTAATCAAAGACTGACAGGAGCTGGTGGAGTTTGTTTCAATTGTAAAATAATTGACCGCATTCGAGAAACATCTTTAGAAGCCCGAGAAGATTTGGGGTTAAAGTCGCAAAGTTTTGCGATGCGCTCCCATTCGGTCCCTGGTTCCACTTCATCAGCTTCCGCTACAAATTGTTTTTCTGCGTTTCTATGAATAAAGACGTCATATTAAATAAGTTATAATAAATATAAAGCTTTAAATTTGCGACAATACTTGTATGCTGTATGCATTAATGATATTGCGCAGCATATATGTTTGACATTTCTAACCGTGTTTCTCACATATATATCATATTACAATTAGCACCATGAAATCCAGACTTAATTCAAATGTCTTCAAAACTTTTTCTGCTATATTTTTATTAGGAATGCGCGGGTATCCAAAATTACGGACTAGAATCAGGTTGGAACAAGTTCGCATGAAACGGGACGGAAAGCCAAAAGTATTTTTTTGCATACAAATAATGTTTAAGATCGATTTTAAATACAATCTTGAGTCGTACCTTTAATACTCGAGCATTTATATATAAAAAGTACGCATTGAATTACCCGCACACTCCTCACTTTTAATTTTATAAAAATATGACATTCTTATGAATGATATTTTTATTTAATAAATATAAACGCGTTTATATTTTTTTGTATGTTCACATTAGAATAATTTGTAAAAATGCTAATGTATCAAAACATTCAAGTTATGAAATTTATAAAAGAACTAATGATAACATAAGAATTATCATTAATACTACATGTGTAATATAACAATCATTAATTTTAATAATAAAGTATTTTATATTTATATTTTGAATGTAACTTATTCATTCTACTAATTGTTTCAAGTATGTATGATTTAAATATGATCCAATACCATGAAGCTCGCATGAGATGATTAGAAACATAAATTTTAAGTATAATTGCATCAAGCATAAGATACATATATAAATTGTCACTAAAAAGCAGCTAACATGTATGAAAGTATCTAATGTCTTTGGTGCCATTTTGCTTATGAATTGTATAAGCAAGCTATATTATACAGCGATGCAATGCAATTATACATGCAAAAAAATATAGTGTAACTTACTTGGCTGATTCCCTAAGAAGCAGAATGAAAACAATATAATAGTATTGTAGTACATATTTTAAAATAATTTAATAAAATATTTTATTTTTATATATGATAAAACTTTTAATTGCATCTATAAATGTGATCAAAAATTGTTATAAATTTTTTAAAAATATTATACGGAATAAAATTTAATTAAATGGTAATTTTAAACATTACCTGTTTGTAGCTTTTGTTTTACTGATGGCTTCTGCATGGTGTTTATACCATTCCTCTAGTTCCTTTCTTGCTGCTTCCCTCCATTCTTCTTTCTTTTTCTCTTCTTCTGCATCTAATTAAATTATATTAAAGAAAACAATGATTTTATTAACTAAATAATAATTTTAAGTTGTCATAAAAAATTCATCAACCAGTATAACAATATAAATATTTGATTAAAATTAAAATTTAGTTGTATTTAGATGTACCTTTTTCCTCCAGTCTAGCTTTCTGTTCCTCTCTCCATTTTTTTATTTTTTCAGGCTCTTCTTTAACAGGAGGAGGTTTGGGTGTACTTTCTAAAAATAACATTTATTTTTATAAACCTGTAGTTATTATTTGATAATAAAATATATATGATGGTTTGAAGGCACAATTTAATATGATTTACCTGTTGTTGGTGGTGCTTGTGTATCAGTTGGCTGTCCAACTGCATCTATTATCTCAAAACTACCTTCAGCATCACCACCCGGACCAACTTTTAAAATTGTAAAGGCAAATTACTTATGATTATCTAATACAAAACTTAATTATCTAATATACTATTATAAAAATAATAGGAATCATCTATTAAAAATAAATGTACTTAATGAAACTTTCAATACTTTAAACATGACATTCAACATGTTACATTATAGTTTATTATGATTTAAAAACATTACCATCTATATTTGGTGCTGTTGCAGGAGCAGCCATGGATACTGGAGGAATTTCATCTTCTAATCCTGCTAATTGATCCTGTTCTCTTGCTACAAATTCTGCCACAGGATCTACTTCTGGTTCAATGACGAAGTTGTCACCAAATGCATCCATATTGTCTACTAATAACATCAAATAAAGTAATAATTCTTAAGAGAAAACAATATTTTTCATTATATAGAAAAGACAATTTTATAAATTTATAAGTATCGTTCTTTATTATGCATCGCATATTTGCTGCAATAATCATATAACTTAAAAACTATGCTTGCAGAGCAAACAAGTTTAAATGTTTTGAAATACTAAATTTTGTATAGACATTATGCAAAAACGATTATAATCATTTTTGAACCTTCTTCTCAAAATTTGATCATTAGATAATAGAAATAAAAATCATTTTTTCCATATTAATAATTTAAAATAATTGTTGCAACAAATTTGATATTCATGTATTATTTGTTTAAATAGTATAGTCAATAGTATTAAGGAAAAACAAATGTGTTACAATATAATTTTCAAGAAATTTAAATTTAAACCTTATAGTGATATCTTAATTTATACTAATATATTCTTAGTAGGTTTCATAGGTTAAATAAAAGTATTATCTATAAATACTTTTATAATTTGTCGTTTAAATAATTTAATTAAAAATAACCTAAAAATAGTATACTTATTGAAGGTAAGTAACGAAGACGTTAAATGTATTTGTAAAAAATAACATGCAAAACAGAAAAAAGGTGATTGATTATGATAAGTATTATGAATGTAAAATGAAATATTGTACCTCAATAACGTTTTGAAATGTGATAATCTTGGGAAACACCCCCAAATGTCGTTAGATTCCTATTTGCAAATTGTCAACGTCAATACTACTTGTACTGAAGTACAACGCACACATGCGCACAATTAAATGTAGTAGTTGAATAGTATAAATCAGTACTACCAACCTTTTGCGAAAATTATAAAAATATTATTTACTTTTCATTTTTGAATATTTTTGTATGGAATGTTATTATAGAAAAGGTTCTAAGTACTCAATAACTGCAAACAATTGTTTAAAAAAAATAAGAAATAATTTGAAAATTAAAAATTGTTCTATGCTTTGTTCGAATATAAATATTGATAATTTTATCAATTTTTTATTCTACATCTTTATTTTACTCAATAAAAATAATTATACTTGTACGTATTTATATAAATAGCTAATGCAATATTTTTATTCTTTTTTTTATAACACTTAAGATATTCGTTTATAAAAACAATCTAAGGAATAATTTTTATTTTAAATTTAAATTTATATATATTCTGTAAATTGGAACATATGACCCTTGAATAACATGGGTTTCAGGGTACTGACACCTTGGCATACAATTTTGAACTCATCGAAACTTAACTATATTTGTGTGTTACATATATGTATTATTACTATATTCTTACAATAAAATAAATTATAGAAAAGGAAATGTTAATAACAATAGCATACGATAATGTATTGATGATTTGCTATAATGACAATGTATTCCAGATATGACTAAAGATCGGTGACCGTTACGACAATATGTTGCCACTAAAGGCCGTAGAACCTACATTTTGTAAAACAATCTGTAGGTTCTGAGGACAAAAATTTAGATGATATTTTCGTTCGTATGGTATTTAAAATAACATGAACAAAGATTGTACAAGAATTGTGAAAATAATGAAATACCATAATCATTTTAACACGGAAGTGTTTCCAGCACGATAATGTGTATTTTTAGTACAATATCAATAATAAATACAGTTATTATTTTGATAATTCCTATTATTATGACAGATCACTGGCAACAAAATTTAAGCATTAATGTACGTGGAGCAAATGTTCTGTTAACAATCATCTAAAAAATGCATATAAAAATACAATTCCTAAATAACATAATTTAGAGCTTCATTCGTTAATATAATGATGAAGCTCTAAAAATAGTTATTAAAATTTACCTACAACCTATACAAGTATAGGTAGTGGCGAAATATGAAAAGTGAAGTCAGTATGTTTGCTCAGGCAAAACATAGTGACCAAACATGCTAATAAAGAAGTAACTCGTACATTTCATTTGTGAAACAATAGGTCAGTCTTGCCCTAATCCCCTCCTTATTTCTCATAGTATGGGATTTTATAATGGGAGGTTCGTTATCTCCATAAATTTACAGATTCTTCTATTTTTTTTTTTCAATATTTGCTCAATACTAGGCATTTTCTTCTTCATCTTCAGAAGTTAGCGTTACATTATCAATACGTCGTGGTAATAACAATGCTACATGTGCATATCTAAATAAGAACATATTTTAATGCTCAGTTCCAATTATACGAAAATGTTAAGTGAAATATGAAATATCTAAACTTACTTGCTGCTTTTATATTTTTCCTGTATAGCTTGCTGTTGAATATTTAATGCATTACAGAAGGTCTTATTCAGATAAATAATGCATTCTTTAAGATCCTTCAATCTATATCCAGTTGCCAATTCTAACTCGTGCGGCCACATCTCTTCTAATAATGTATATCGCGCAAGTGCTATTGCAGATGCAGCTAAATGACTAGGTAAAAACTGCAGATATGGATCTCCTTCAAGCATTGACAATTCGCACAGATACTGTGAAATTATATTTAAGAATTAGAATAATGCTCTAATAATATAAAAACAAATAAGCATTAGTTACTTACCATTGCTAAAAATTTTATTTTCTCTGAAAGATTATTACTAATACAATATTCCATAAGGAAAGTAAGTGGTGTTGGTACAGTCAGATCAAAGGATAAAACCCTTAAAATTAAATGCTCCATGCGTAGTACCTGTTTCTTTGTATATGTATCATCCGTAATATATACAAATTCTCCTACATCTGGTGGATAAATTTCTTCATATTTGCTGTAAAATTTATAATAAAATATTGTTTTTTAAAAATAAAAATATTTTCATATAAATTTAGATTACATAATAAGAAACTTACGCAGCAATGAACATAGCTGCTGTGCCAACTAGCTGCAATTTTGCTCTTACAACACTCATGTATGACAAGAAGCGATCTATATAGGAAACAGCTAAATAAAGTGTTTCAGTTTGTAACCGATATTCTTCAGCTACTTCAACAAGCCAATCCACCAATATCGATCTCATTGAATATGTTATGTCAGGTTGTTTCTTCATATATCCTGGTTTTGGTCTGTGATGTGTCTGAAAGAATTATGTTTAAAATCACATGTTCACTAAAAATACAGACATTTCATTCCTAGAATTTATTACAAATAAACAAGAAAATATATACCTCTGCTACACGCAAATAGTTATATATATCAGCTCTATATTCATCCACATCGAAAAAATTTGTTCTCATTTCCTTAATAGACTCTCTTCGTTTTTGAATTTCTTTTTTCGAAGAAGAAGAGTAAGAAATGGACTTCTCTAAAGACATTAGACTGTCTTGTGAAAAAATAACTTCATTTTCCTTTTTTTCATTTATATCTTGAGTAGCATTACAAAATGTGGATAGATTTGAGACATTCATAGGATTTACTTCTAACCTTGGCTTTTCTCTTTCAGATTTAACATCATGTTTCTCTTTTATTTCTTTCTTATGCTTTGTGTCTCTAAGTACAACAGAAGTTTCTTCTTCTAATTTATCTTCATAGATTTTGAATATGACTTCTTCTTTCTTTTCCTCATAAATTTTGAAAGGTTCAAACTGTGTAGGTATAACTGCTTTTGTTCTTGGAAATTTCTCATCTTTGTAAATCTCCTACAAATAAACAAGTAAGATTATTTCATTCATACAATCCATAATGAATAATTTAAGTACTTTGGAACAAGTACAAAAATTATGTAACGTTTATAATTATGCTTCGTATTCACGTATCTTGTTAAATAAATAACGAAAATTATCGATTTCGAGGTCTAAAAAAAACGCGGGAGCAAAAGTAAAAAATAGATGTAATACGTACTGGTTTTGAATTACGTTTACAATTATTATGAAGTACACCCAAGACAGCACGTTTTGATGCTTGTAACGTTTGATTTTGAAGAGGCACAGTAATATTCTCTTTGCCGCGACGAACATCGACCATACGATTTTCTTGATCTTCGTGTACTCGAATTGTGGCCATTATTCAGATTTAAATTCGTCCTCAATATCGTATATATAAATCAAGTATTTTATTTTTTAAATTATTACTGCTTTTTAGACACTGCACATGCTCTCTTTTTATTATAACGAAGTGTTTTTACCGTCCATGCATGGCAGACAAATTTTGGAGCTCCAAGCAACCCAACAAACTTCAGTTGCCGTTTGATTTCAAACAAATGTAACTTCAACAGCTGGTGATACGTTAAAAGCGTTGCTCAAATAAACCAATGAGAGCAGCATGTCTCTTATAAATCGCGAATACACCAATCAGATAAATGATGGAAATCTGTGTTCGTAAAAGTATTTAGAAATACAATATTTATAAAATAAACATTATTAAAATTATCATTATACAAAGATTAAAATTTATTTTTATTTTAAATATTATAAAGATCTATCTAAGATATATTTCATTGTACAGATCTATGCAGATATTTGTTATTTCAAACTTCATAAAACATGTTTGAATGATACATTGTTATTTAAATTATACGCGTGAGAAAATGAAAAGTGTATACAAATGAATTATAATTTATGTAATTCATATGTATCATGATGATTATAAATTATAGTAATATCTTCAAATTAGGATTACTTGTATGTATATAAAAAGTATAAAAAGCAGTAATTATTATACATTAAAATAAATTTATTATTTATAAATGTATACAAATTCTTAAAATTATGTATTTATAAAATATACTAGCCAATATTATGAAATAAATTCTGTATTAAATATCTTATTATTTAATATAATACTGTAAAGAAGATGTTTTAGTTCATTTTTTCAATTTGTTCATTGTTGGGATTTGAAATTTTAAAGTGGTATTACCAGTAGGTAATGAGAAAATGTATGTACCGGAAAATGATTCTTATTCAAATTGCGCATGATGATTTCGATTGGTTCTAATACTCTTCGTCATCAAATGTAACACTCATATCCATTTATAATATTCATGACATATCCAGTGATCTTATATTTGATATATTTCGCTAAGTTATGTCTTCTTTACTGAATTAATACATTTTTGTTCACCATGTATATAATCATAAAATGCGAAAGAAGCTATAGATTAGTATCATACTGATCGTAAAGAGCGTTTTGAACTGAGCCGAGATACGCGAAAAAGTATGTGCATCCCCTGGTGACAGACATTGTAGTCTGTGACGAAGGAATCCAAGCTTGTCGGTATTCCTTGCTGTATAAAAAGTTTATTTATACATTCATATGCAAATTTGTAATGTTTTTGCAGTATCAACAACTACAGTTAATGCACTGAGTGATTTTGCAGTAACAGTTTAATCCGAAGAAATTAATAAGCATAAAATTTTTATACACGATCACGTATTTCGTGTGCAAACTGTGTGTGAAGTTTGAGTTTTAACCTCGTAAATAACACTTTGCGTTTGGCGGTATATTAGACATTAATTGATTGAGGACGGATAAGTGATTTGAAAGACTTTGTATCAAATATAGCAATGAGTCCATTAAATCGAGGGCCTCTGCTAGGACCAAGAGTTCCACCGGCTGGTATACGGCCTCCTCCACCTCCACGATTTGGCGGTAGATTACCACCTCCTGGTTTACCTCCAAGAATGCCACCACCACCTATAAATCCTGTTTTTGGCCCAATACGACAAAGATTACCGCCACCACCGCGGCCAGGTGGAGTAAGCAGACCCAGTGGTCCAATGCCACTATTTGGTCCACGAGTCAGAGCTATGGCCCCAATGATTCCACCACTAGGCTTGAGAGGTGCAGGACCTCGAGGACCATTAATGAGACCTTGGCATAGAAGAGCATTACCACCACAAATTTTATCTCATATGAGACCACGATATTCCATAGGAAATGGCAATGCTAAAGGCAAAGCATCAAATAATGTGAAAAAAGTCAACAAACTTGAAGTATGAAATCTTATTTGTCATTGTAAGAAGATAATATTATCTTTCAAAATTTGAGTGCTCGTTATTGCTAAATCTTTCAAAATCTAATAAAAATTGTTTCAAACCTTTTCAATGATCAGGTTTTGAAATAATTTTGATTAACGTTACAAATGAGTACTCAGGTTTGGAAAGATGTTTAATGGATGCATGAAACTATAATTAGTAAATTTATTTTGTTTGTACTTTTATACTCAAATGATATGTGTGTTTATTTCAATTAGTATTAAAAGGATAATTTTGAAGTTTTGTCTAAACTGCTTAGATTTTCTTTTATATTTGAAATTTTTTGAATTAAAAATATTATTTTCTAAGTAAAATGATCATTAAAAAACCAAATTAAAAAACTGTTATTAAATTTTGATCAAAAGTCATTATGATTATTCAGGAATTAGAATTGAAGAAGCCATGGATGACTGATGAAATTCGTAGTGAAATACAAAAGAAAAATAAACTCTATGCTAAAGCTAAAAAAAATAAAGATGCAAAAGAATGGGAAGAATTTAAAGATTTGCGGAACAAAGTAACAAGGATGATCAGAGATGCTAAAAATGATTACCTTGCAAAACATCCTGAACAGGTATTTTTTTTATTTAATTTTGATATGCATAACATAAAATACTGTTTTTTTAAATCAACAATTTGTTGTGTGGATTATTATTGTACAATTTATAATAATTATATATCCATTTAATTTAAAATATAGTTTGAAATTAACTTGTGACATTACAGAAATTAAAATAATGTAAAATTTTATGGGATAGGAAACAACTATCTTGATAAAACGTGTTAGTAATTTATATATTACAAATATAACATTTTATTTACAATTGTTAAATTTCATGATATTCGTATTATACTACGAGAAACATAACACCATTTACAGTTTTATATATGCATACAAAATTTATATTATTGATATATAATTTAAAAATTGTACTAAATATTAATTTTATCATATGAACTGAATTTAACCTGTTCTGCTTCTCTATCATATTCCTATAATAATTTTAATAAGAATTTTGAGTATTTACTTAAATGATACTCTTTCATTGTTACTAATACAACATGTATTCTATTGTAATTTGGAAAAGAATAATAGACCACCCTGTACAAATAAGTAACAAATAATCTTCTATATTTCAAACTGTTATCTTACATTTCTCTATTTATATGATATATGATTAAGGACTGTATTTGGTGTACCTTTTATCGTAGATAAAATACAACACTACTTCATTTTTTTAATAATTTACAGTAAGTATTCCAAAATATTTGTTAGGTCTAAAGATATTATAACACAGGGTTTCCCAAACTTTCATGGTCAAGATCCACTTCTATGAATGAAAGTTTTTTTTATTCCATTTACTTATGATACATTATTTTTTAAATTCAATGTCATACTTACAAAAGCAGTTCTTTGGTCTCAAGGAAAGGGAAGTTGTTGAAAAAATACCTACAAGTGGATTAAAGACGATAAAAAGTTGGGAATCTCTGTTGTAACATACATAATATTTAAGTAATTTTTTGGAATTATATTATTTTAAGTATATTATTTAATTAGTTGTTTATTTAAATCAATAAATTAGTATAATATAAGAAACATCATTAAGCTGTATTAGTAAAATAATGTTAATAGTATTACTTATACATATTCAAAATGAGCATTATTCCTATATTTCATTTAAGTGGTATTATATACCTAATTCTATATAGTTCCAATGATAGTTGATAAATTGCTTTAATTACAGGGTGGTCAAAAAACAGATGATAAGAATACGATTGAATCCGAGGGTGTTCAGAAAACTGAGAATGCGACTGAGCAATCAGAACAAACGGAGCTAATGGAGGAGATGCAGCCTTCCAGCAAACAGGCACAGTCTTAAGCTTCAGGCTACTCCTCCTATAGAGCATTGAACAGTCTAATTACACAAGTATTCTGTTTTCAAACTTCAGAACGATTTAATTCCTTATTTTTAACACGCAGTAAATTGAAAATATTGCTATCAAAATATCTGTATCATCTTTAATTTTTCATACTTCCACTATTCGTCATTTGTAGATTATCATTATTTTGCAACATAAGTTCGTTAGCATTTATAATACGAGTGCATGCTGTTAAACTATTATGAACACTTTCAGAAAAAATGGAGTTTATAGAGTTAAATATTTAAACCACAGATATTGTCTTGTTTCTCATAATACTTTATGAAAAAGTATAATTTTCTATTAATTCATTACATAATTATGAATGTAAAATTTTGTATATTTCTTGCATATTTCCGTAGTAGAAATATTAGATGTCTATAACTTCTTTTCTCGAGTTAAATAAGGACTGGCCTTTAAATAATTTTGTTAAGATTTTTAATTGTTCCTTGGCCAGTATACAGTGCTGTAAGCTATAACATACTGAATTAAAAGTTATATGAAAGTAAATTTATATAACATTCTTTAGTATATTTAATAATCTGTATTCTATTGGATATGTAAGTTAAATTTATATAATAAGCAAGAATAAGATGTTAGATAGCTTGTGGCTCTGTATTAGGATATGACAATTTTTGTAATTGTTTGTTATTATGTGTCGTAGTATCATATACATTTTATTCATTTCAATGATACATGACTTCCACAAAATATAAATTCAAAAGAAATTAAATTTGTAATTAAGATGCGTATTGTAAGAATAAACCGTATTTCTATAAGTTCTAAATCTGGTGTTTCCAATTACTCTATGAACCACTTTAAAAAAACAATTACGAGTGTATATGCGTCGAATAATCGTTCTGAAATATGAAACTGATCTTTCTACAAATTTTTTGTGAATAACTTCCATAGACATATTCTTTTTCCAGAATTGTTTATCAATTGCACATATTTATATTTCTATTAAAAATGAGCATATACTATTTCTGATTAGTATTACATATTAAATAAATTTACCAAATTTACATTTTAAACGTAACATTTGATTGTAAGCAGTTTACAATAAGAATTTACTACACCTTCTAAATTTCAATATTTTAAGATAAATAATATTTCTACGTAAATTCTATATTTTAAGATTTTTATATGCTATTTAAGTTATGTTATGTATGGTACATAGTATGTTGCGTTAATCACAAAGTACTTTCTGTGGGCAATTATAAACAAAATTTATATTGACATTTGTAATTAACTTAAAAGGATATTGACAAAATCTTTACGTTTCTAGTATTCTTATAAACTTGGAAAATGAATTTCTGAATACCCTGGAAAGCATCTTAAAATGAAACATAATCATTTTTATATAAGAACATAAGTAATTATCATTTTTAAACATATTTGATCTGTATATACATATTTTTCAAGTAGCACTTACGTCCAAAAGATTGTGAAAAAATACTTCTATAATTTTATAATTACAATGTGCATAGTGATTTTTATTAATTTGTTACATTATTCATACAAATTCTAATCAAATATTTTTGTAAAATACTTAATATGATTTTTTATGTTTGAAGTATAAAAATCTGTAAGTTATTGTTCTTTAAAAAATACGTTACTTTTTTAATTTCTAAATAAGTAATACATTGTATAATATTAATAAAAATTTGTTAACTGAGAAATGAAGGTATGAGACAAAAATCATCTAATAGTTGTAAAGTACCAATCATTGTTACTTATACATAATAATTATTAAGAAGTATTTTTACATTCAATTTGAATATGAATAGTGTATAAAAGATATTTGAAGTAACCGTTTTTAGGCTCATCTTTATCCAAGCGACGAGGAACCTTATGATCAAAGAGATATAAATGATATCAGTTCAGAGGATGATGAATCGTTTTATTGTGAAATATGCGATAAAGAATTTTCATCAGAGGATGCTCTTTCTGAACATAATGCAGAACACAAACTTTGCGGTATTGATGGATGTACCTTTTCTGCTCATCCATTGCTTGTCGAAAAACATATTACAATGCAACATAGTAGTGGACTGTATCAAAGAATAAAAAATCTGTCGACTCCTGAAGACATTGAAAAATGGATAATGGAACGGAAAAAGCAAGTTGTAATACAAAGAAATAGAAATACACAAGAGCTAGAATTTGTAATAGACATAATTTTTACTTATATTCCAGGAGATATCCTACAAAAGTTAACGTCGAATTACGAAAGGCAGAAGAATTAGAGAAAGTACAAAGGGGGGAAGTAATAAAAGAAAGTCAAGAGATTACTAAAAAAGACAATAAAAAAAAGAAAATGGCACGCTCTCGCAAGAGAAAAAGAACAATACAAAAACAATCAAGTGAAAATCATAACATACAACAAAGAGAAATATACAGAGGTTTACCTGAATTTTGTGGAACATGTAAGCATTTAAGCAGTAGATCATTTTTTTATTCTTTAAAATATTTTTTACATGAATGAAGTTTTCAGTAAATCTACGTAATACTGATTTACAAGTAGAAAGTCAGACTAATGAAATTATTGAAAATGTAAATGAGGAAAATATTAATTACATTTCTGATGAAGAGGAAATACCAGCTTTATCAGCACAACCTGTGGCACCTACTTTCAGCTTACCCAATTTAGTAGCAAATTATGAAAGTTCTTCTGAAGAAAGTAAGTTTTAAGTATTTATTATAATTTATATTATATTATATTATTTATTTACACTAGTATTATTTATAGGTAATGGCCCCTTAGAAGTACCAATCAAGAGAGAAAAATTGAATGATTCGATATCACAAGAAAATGATATTAAAGAGACAAAAAATGAAATTAATCATAATACACAATTATGTACGAATACGCAAGAATGTTCTGATCTTAAGTTGCCAGTTGCTAAAAATTTTAAGCCTAAAGACAAACAGAATACAGAGTTAAATCGACGCTTAAAAAATAAAGAACAGAAACGTAAAATAACTAAGCAACAACCATATACCTCACAATTATTACAAAAACTACTTTCACGATCTATACAGCATGAAAGAAATTTAATTTGTCAATGTGTAAAATACATAGTAAATAATAATTTTTTTGACTGATAGTAATGATATTTAAATTATATTTTTACAGTAAGCAAATTTTGGAAAATTTAATATTAAAAAATTTTATATGAAAAATAACAAACGCCGTAATTCTTATTTCTTATTTATTTTCTTATTTGTGCTTAAAAACGTTTTACAGTGATTAAGTTTTAAAAGAAGGTTTTTTCTTCTTTTTGAATTGCTTCTTTGGATGTTCCAAAGCGTTGTTATCTTCTAATAATCTTTTCTCGCCACTTTTTATAGATATGAGGTTCTTAGCTTTCTTTCCAGAAAGTACATTATTCCATTCATCCTCTGAACCCTTGATAGCAAATTGTTCTAAATTTTCTTTCTTCAATTTTGCTAACTCAGCCTGTTGTTTAGCTTTCAATTCCTACAAAAATACCATAAACATAGAATTTTATATTTAAATACACAAAATATTTTGAAGAAAAAAAAATCCACCTTTGCTGCAGTTTCTAACTCTTCGTGTAAACTTTCTCCATGGACAGGGTCAAGTTTTATATTTTCATTGGTCCCTTGTATCTTCATCATAGTACTTTCAATAAAGTTTTCTGTTATTCCATTAAGATACTGCACAAATTTTCTTATAATACGATTAAACAATGCGAGTAATTGTGACGGCGGTAGACCTAACTCTTCTGCTAATTTATCAACAGTTTTGTGTTGTAAACCTAATCCTAATAAGATTGCCTACAAGTAAAAATATTACTCTGTAAGTAGATACATTGGAAGTTAAAAATTCATTAAGACAAAAATAACTACCGATTGCACAGGTGATAAATGGGCGTCATTCATCATATTTAGAAAATATAAACGTGCCAATGATGGTAATAAATCCATTATTAAATGGTAGTCTGCCATGTTATTACTATACATAGCTAAGCGTTTTAGATCATATGATGAAAAATATATGTCTAAAACGTCTTTCGTCATTGCTAAAAAGAACACAATTATAATTGTTTTATTATTATTAAATTATTTAAATTACAATAAAAGGGATATAAGACGTACTAACTTGTAATCTCTGGTGTGACCGATTTATTGATTAAAATACTTAAAGCCAATGAAGCTGAATATGTACTAAACGAGTAAGAAAGCAAATTTATAAATCGTCGTCGAAAATCATTCCAATACGCTTGCAACCACTTACTATCATCTTGTTCAAAATTTGTCTTATACAACATTATACATGAATGTTCGCCCGTTATATCATTTGATGTTTGTCTGAAACATAATAAAAATATTCAATTTGTGAAATAAAAATAATTAACAATATAATTCACCTTAAATATACAGGTACAAAATTAGCTCGTTTCCAAAATTTCAGAAGTTGTTCGGTAACTCCAAAAGATACGCCAATATAATCCAAACTTTCCGGACGTCTTTCACTTAGTTTCAGAAGTAGCGGTGGTAGAGAAGATCGAGGTTCTAAAAAGTTTTTATTATAAGTATAAACTTATAAATTTGAAACTAATATAATAATCATTTTAAATAATTTTTAATTTGCAATGTAATAAATGTAATTACCAATTTGCTCTTCTAACAAAGTTACGTTGTCATCTTCAACTTTAGCTATTTCAGTGGTGGGTGTTTCTGCAGGCGCTTCGCTAATGTTAAGTATTTTCATTTCATAGTATTGTTTTAACAATGCTAGTGCCCGACTGCCGTATCCCATCTGTAATGCGAATACTTATTAAACATAAATCAATCTCTGTTAAAATGTTTGTAATCAAATAAATTTACCCCGTGATAATCAGGATGTGTTGCAATGCGAACAATACGTGCACCAGTTAACGTTGGAAAATCATGATCTTGATATTGTTGTGCTATAGTCCATGGTATAAGATCACCTGCTGCTTTCTGTCCTCGGACAAGACCACTATTCACAGAACTTTTACTCAATTCACCTTCTAAGCAAACCTACATATTACAAAAATAGTACAAATATAACGTGTACTTCGGTCATTTAAATTTCCTTGTATATTTGTACCAATGTCTACATTAAGTATACTTACTTGAATAACAGCTAGTATTTCAGGTAACGATTTTTTATTTGAATCTATAGGTCCCAAAAGGCAAAAAAGGTGATGTGCTGGGGCATCAGACATCATTTGTAAATCATTTGGACTATTCTAAAATATTATTTAACTTTGAATAATCTTCCTTTTAACCTGCCAAATGTTTTATCAAAATACTTACTTTGTAATGTGAAGCAACATAAAGAGCTACTAATCTTTGTAAAAATAATTCAGATGCTTTATGATAAGAAAATAATGTGTCTCTATTTATGTAATATAATTGGCACATATCAGGAGGCGGACATCCAGATACTATAGGTGCATGTGTAGCATTTAAACATAATAAATCGCATAACCATTGTTCAACAGAATCCCCTGGTTTATAACGAATAGATTCTTCTAGAGTAAGTTCATGTAACTGTCTCCCAATAACTGTTTTTTCATTCTGTTGTTTGTCACTTTTTTCGTGACTGTTTGAAGTAGCAGTTTGACTTCGTAATTGTTGTAATAGTTTCAATGATAAAGATCTTCCTGTTCCTTCATAACTATTAAAAGATACATGATTTAAGTGTGAAAAATGTTGTACATATTAATAAATCAAAATCAAAGAAGAAACAATTACCCATTAATAGTTGATGAAAGAAATATTAAATAAGGGCCAAGCATAGCTTTCACATAAGGAAGTGGTATAGCAGCAGCTTCGTCAATTACAAGTAATTCTGCTTGATTTAATTTATGTGCATCAGTGGGATGAATGTACTAAATACAAAAAAAAATCTTATTTCATTAACATTTATACATTTGTATTTTAGGATCAAATGTATTATACCTGTATTGTCTGTCTGTGATCCCGAAAAACGTTCACACGTACAGTAGCTTTATTAAATTCAGGATTTGTAGACTGTACAAGTCCATAATCAAGATGTTCTTGATATCCTAATGCATCAAATCCTAAAATTTACATTAATAATTAACATTTTTAAATGGAGTTTTCTAATATATAATTTACCTTTAAAGATGAATTCAAATAAAGTATTTAAATTTTCTGGACTTGGACTGGAAATAAAAATGTTTGAATAACCAAATGTTACAGCTCCAGCAATAGCTAAACCTAAAGCTGCAGATTTTCCACGTCCTCTGGCTGCAGTTAAAGATACAGTAGATCTTAATGTCTTTTCAGAGATGCATTCAATGAATTTTAAAAGTGCTTTAGCCTAAAAAATAAATGGAATATTACCCCTATGCATGTACATACTACTGCAATAACTTTATATACAAACCTGGTCAATAGTTCTACAGCAGTTGACAAGAGCAGAAATAGGTTGAGTATCTTTTAAACTGTCTTTTAAGATGTCTAATTCTGTTTGTTCTTCAGAAACAGTTAATTTTTGTATAGGCTCAATTTTTAAATTATGTGATGATAAAGGTAGTACATTTAATTGATCATCAACAACCAAACATCTTTTACATGAAGCTAAGGACAATAAAAATCTTTCATTGAACCTACCAACAACATTCTGCAAAGTAGGAAGCACACATTAAAAATATATAAATTTATTAAATTATGTATAAATCAAAAAATTAAAGATTAAAGACATACTTGGTGTGCTTCTGTACGAAATCTTTGATGAACATCCATGTTCATTGTGTACAATTGTTTTAAAGAATTTACAGATTGTAAAAGAAATACAATAAGGCCTCCTCCTTCAATAGTTTCAATGGTACGTGCTAATAAATTTGGTGTAATTGCTTCAAAGTCCTATTGAAATCAATTAATTATTTTAATTATTATTTTAGAAAAATTATAATAAATATAGAAATGCACAATCTTACTTGTAAGACACACATTCCATATGTATTTCCCAATATTTTATGTGTCTCATGATAGTAACAATATCTTATATTAGTAGAAACAACAAATAATTCAAATGGATCATCTTCGTTAACATCCAATTTTCCTGATTTCACTTTTTTTTGTATGGATTTCATTCGTTTCTTTCTATGACTGCTAAATCCTAAATCTTTTTTATAACACCAGAGAACAGAAGGTCTACTTTTTACAACAGTTTTTGATAACATGTGATGGAGTAAAACAATCTGGAAAAAAAATTGAATCCTTAGTCGATAAATAAATAGTACTAATAGCAATTATAGCATAAATACATTCCAAATTTAGTTGTAATTTACTTTTAATTTATAAATTTTATAGTTTTCACTAACCTGATCCCTTGCTTTTTCGCCGATAATAATAAACATTGTTCTGTGTCCCGTATTAACACCATTTTCTATTAAAACGCGAATGCGGTTATCTATCTTTTTACGCACCATTGTTAATTATTAAAATATTCTTCTCTTTTTATAAATTTATAATTTCAAAACGTGTTCACCGCATGTCTCTCTTTATGTTATCTGATGTACAGTACGCGTCTACTTTGTAAAGTTGGGTTAGATTAGGTTAATTTTACACGTATGAGTGGGAAAAAGTATTTTGTATACTTTAATCATAAACGAGATAAAGGATAGATGGAGTAGATTAAAGAATAGAAAGTCTTTTCCTGTGAAAATATACCATTACTGTCTCCTACGCCACCTGTTCGAGGCACGATTTTTGTTGAGAATTAGCTAAATATCTCAAAAGTTTGGTAGTGTCTGACTCTTATATTTGTATATACATTATTAAATGTTTATTATTGATGTTTAACAAAATTAGGTTAGGAATAAAGAAATCTTTTATATTTTTTAATCATGCATTTTAATAGAGGACACTTGATAGGTAATAAATTTATTCTACAATATTGTTAATCATTATTTTATATTTTATTTCTTTCACATAAATACCTACCTGTTAATTTATGATATAATTACAGATAATTCTACACTTGACAGTGATGAAAGTAATAATAGTTATAATGACAGTGACAGTGATAGTAGTATGGATATGCTTTCAGACGATGATAGTTTGAACAGTAGCAATGATTCTGAAAGTGAAAACAATGTAGAAAATCCTGTTTCAAATAATAATCAAGTATCTGCACGTACAAGTAAGTTTTATAAATAAAGGGACTTAAGCTATAAAAAATGTGTTACACCTATATTTATTGTTACTATTATTATTATTATTACAGGTAACGATACAGATTCAATTTTGTTAAATGAAGATGAAGAAGAAGATGAAGTTATAAAAGCAATAATTCGGGCACAAAATGCACAATCAAATCATCCTCCACCAATTATAACAGAAGATCATGTGGTAGATATATGTTTTCACCCTAACTCAGACATGATCGCTGTAGCTAATATTGTAGGAGATGTATACCTGTAAATTTTAAATTTATTAGCACTAAAAATTTATTTTAAATGGTATATTTATTTAACAAACATATTTTTTGTACATTAGATATAAGTACAATAACACAGAAACAGAACTTGCATCAACCCTAGAATTACATCTTAAAGCATGTCGTGATATAGAATTTAATGAAAGTGGTAAAACATTATTTTCTACTGCTAAAGATTTGTGCATAATGCTTACTGATGTAGAGACAGAGAAATTAACAAGATTGTATGAGAATGCACATACGTATGTATATAATTTTTTTTTTATAAAATGTCATAAATTTATTGTATAAATAGTAATTAATTATAACTTTAGAGAACCAATATATACAATGACCACAATTGGAGAAAACATGTTTGCAACAGGAGATGATGATGGTGTAGTAAAACGTAAAATAATATTTATATTGTTTTTTTATTTTGTTTTTAATATATAATTATATTTATGTACAAATATTTTAAGTGTGGGATCTTAGGCAAAAAGGAGATGTACCTGTATTTTCAATAAAGAAAATGGAAGATTATGTAAGTGCTATAATAACAAATGAAGAGGCAAAATATCTGGTGTGTGCAAGCGGGGACGGTTCTATTACCACGTTCAATATACCGGGAAAGAAAATGCATGTTCAAGTATGTATAAATAAGTATTATGTGTTATTTAGTTAATTATTTACATATCATAATTACTTTATTAGTCAGAAGAATACGAGGAAGAATTAACATGTCTTGGTTTATTTAAATCTGAAACAAAAATTTTGGTAACAACAAGTAAAGGAAAAATGTACATATATAATTGGGGAGAATTTGGACTTCATTCAGATGAATTTCCTAGCCCAACTAAAAAAGCTATAAATTGTATGATTCCAATTACTGAAAATATTGCAATAACAGGAGGGGAAGATGGAATGTTAAGGTAAGATGTAACTTAAACTTTTATATACAATAATTTGATTTATATATAAATAAATTAATATAAATATTTTTTATATTGATATACAGAGCTACTAGTTTATTCCCTCGCCGTAATCTCGGAATAGTAGGGCAACATGATCTCTCTATTGAGACGCTTGATGTTAACAGTGATGGTACTCTAATTGCATCTTCTTCACATAATAATGATATCAAATTTTGGAATGTACAATATTTTGAAACTTTAAATGTCACCGAACCTGTAAAAGGTGGAAAACAAAAACAACTAAAACATAATCTTCCAAGTAGTAAATTTGATAATGCATCTAACTTTTTTTCTGATCTTTAGTAAAGAAATAAAAATAATAGTTAATGTAAAATGTATTTTTTTTACTTCTGATTTGAAGTAATTGTTATGTTTCCTTTTATAACATAATTAAGAAAAAAATAAATAACATTTCTATACATCAACTACCAAATATGTAATATAAGTTACCAAAATTAAGTATAGTATGATGTGTTGCATTGAATGATTTACAAGGAATTTCTAACTGTACGGTATTTTATTCCCAAAAAGATAATAAAAGTCCGTTGAATATAGATGGTATACGTTTACATTTTCAAATAGTGATCAAAATTTACTGAATACTTATCACCAGTTACAAATATTTTATACATTTTTCGTTATACTTTTTAAAAACATTCATACACTATAACAGTTTTAATACAAATAAATAAAGATACAAAACATATTAGAATTCATAGTACATCAATAGCTTAAGGATTAAATGATATATATTATTAATACTTATTAATATAATGATCTAAAATTTAGAAAACTAAAACATAAATACCTTTATTTATACTGAAAAGTGTGATAAATATTATTAAGAGTTTTGTGTAACTTAAACGAAATAAATTAATAAAAATAATTTTAAATTATTTTAATATTATGTCTACCAACAGTAATGTAGAATACGTTTTTTCAAATAAATGTTCTCAATTTATTATTAGAAAATCTTAAACAATAAATGCTCCATACCCTAATTATATTTATTAATTATTTAAAAAGTAAAATTCAGCCTTCATTATTATCGAATAAAAAATATTCTTACTTATAGCATTATTTTACTGATGATTTATTTCACGTAAATACTCTGGTGTATGGTAATGTTGCTGTTGTGCATGAGCAAGTGAAGGATGAATCGGAGGTGGAAAACACCGAACATGTTCGACACTTGTTGCATCGCTATCCCCGCTCTTCAAATACTTATTTAGTACGGCAAATATTTGTGAATTTAATACTTGAAATCTTCTGATTCTATCTACCATTCTTTTCAAGTGCTATTTAACAGAGATAAAAGTAAATGGTTAATCAGCCAAATAATTAATGCAGTAAGATAAAACTTGTGTATAAACACTTACAATCCCTTTAACGTTTTCGTCTTTACCATCTACACGTTGTACCCTTAAAATGTGATAACAAAAGTCCAAAGCTTCGAATCTTCTTTGCTGACCGAGTAATACTATCATGGTGCACCCAGCCCAATGCAAGCCTTCGCCAAATAATTCTCTAAAATATAAATACTTATACAAAATTTGTATTTTTAATATTAATATTTAAATAATATATATGTATGAATCACTAACTCGACTGTAAATTCTGTTTCTCCAACAGGAATGCAATATACAAATTGCAATGCACTCCATAATCTATGAAATTCTGTGCATTCGTCCACATTCATTACTCCATTAGCAGGAGGTGGACCAACCCAAATAGGATCATTTAAAAAGCTATGTAGTCTACTTAGTACCACTTCAAATATTGACAAACCGCAACAAAGCCGTTCCCGCGTTAATAAATCCCCTTCCCTGGCAATCATTGCTTGCTAAACATTTAAAATCAAATCTATAATATATAACATATACTTCTATTGTGACCATATATTTTTTAATAATTGTTAGTTACTTACCTTAGCTGTACCTAGTTTATCCACATTTGGAACGATCTGTAAAGCAGCATATTTGGCTTCGAGACGCTTTTGTTTAGTTTCTGGTTTTTCACCCTCTAAAAGTCAAATTAGTTTAACATTTGAAAAATGCCTTTATCCTTGAAAGTAAATAAATATTACCTTTGCAATATGGTCTAGGCAATATGTTTTGAAATGGTGCTGCGTGTAATAAATCACAAACCTCTTCTTGTGATAAAGCTTGTTCCATTAAAAGGCAAAACAAAATTGTATTACCGAATTCACGAAAATTATGGAAAAGTTCAGTTTTAGCGTCTGGATATTGCACAATGTCATTCAATTGGGCATGATAATATCCTAAAACTCCTGGAGAACCATAATCATATCTTGGAAGTTTGCAAACTTTTGGCATAGCCTCCATTAAGGTCTTAGTGAATTGGTGTAAACTTCCTTGAATCAAAGACTTTACAATTTTTAGAAGTTCTTCCATTACCACGGCAATTCCTTGATATCCAAGAAGTTTACACATTGTTCGAAAATGTTGCGGACCAACAAATCCTGAATATTGACCATACTGTGTGCTGTACGCTAAATTTAATTGCTTGCTTCCCCAAAGATAGTGATGAGACATTTGTGGAGGTTTATCCCTATGTACTGGCTGTACAAATTGTAGTCCACGACATTTTACAAACCTGTTTGCAAGCATATAATTTTTATATGAACGATTACCAATCTATAAAAAACTTTTAAATATTTTTTATTTTGTCATACCTATTTGTTGCTGCATTATAACAATAATTTGGGAGAAAATCGTAATTTAATTCCCAAAATACGTGTAATGTAATTCTTCCATACGGAGCTAGCACGTTATGATTTGCTTCACGGAACATAGCATCATATTCATCCAATGCAAGCCATTTACTTAAAAGTTTATGAGTAAGACGATTAACTTGTAAAAGTCCTTCTAATTCCTAAAATGTTATAAAGTAATGTAAACCATATGCATATAGCACTGAATTATTCAATTGCTGATTAACTTACTACAACTCCTGTAATATCTCCAGATTCAAATTTACTAATTGCTAAATCCAATGATTTTTGCATATCTGCATTAATACGTTGGGTTATCAATTTATTTAAATCAATACTTCTTCCCAATAACTGAACATGCCTTTGTTTAAGTAAAGTTTCATATCTATTGGCGCGAGGGTATGGCAGTAAATATGCTCCTAATGCAACACATTCCACTCGAAATCTTTTGTCTAACAATATGCTCGCAGCCAATTGTTTATAATGAGCAAAAATTTGCTCACTAAGTTTATAAACGAACTGATCAAAGCATAAATTCACTTCAGCTTCTACTTCATCGTAAAGAAATTGTTTACGGAATATAGTTAGGGCGTATAACGCACTATCGTTATATAAATCAAGTGGATATAAAACATACCTAATAAAATATATTATATTAAAAGACGTAAATTATACAAATTTTTTATTTATACTCACTCCATCATGGATGGTTCTTTGCTTCGTAATATATGATCAGTTAGTATCCACGGCATGGACATTTCAATCGGGAACTGAAATATGGATCGAAATATTTTTATTTGATAATTTTTATAACTGCAATAAATTATCGTAAATAATTTATAGAGTAGAGTAATAATTTATACAATAGAGTACCTGAATACGCTTCTCCATAGTGATCAAGTCGCTGCACTCTTCATTATGCTGATGACGTACTTGACATTTCTAATCATGAAATTAGGTATACAAAATGCTATTTTCATTTATATAAAATTTAAAGCAGAATAATTTTAAAGATAACTTTAATTACCTGTATCTTCCGACCCATAGTCATTTCTAGGTAAAATTCCCTATACCATAATTGAGATAAATCACAGCAGTCTTGCAATGATTCTAGAAAGAAAAAAGATATATTAAAAAAATTACTTTATTAAGAGACTTAAAAATAATTATCATTGTACTTACCGCTAAAATTTAAAAGATAGCTCCAATAGAAACTAGTTTTATGGAACTGATCAATTTGAACAAGGTATTGACCATCAATGTCTTTTCTCAAAGTACGTTTCCCACCACTTTTATCAGCAATTAATGATTCTAACATAGTACGAACCATATAGAGCTGTGTTGAAGATGGTCCTAAACAAATATATTAAACATATGAATAAATTAACAAAATCTTATACAATGTTAAAAATTTAAATCATTTTTTAAGCTTACCGACATTTCTGCGCGGTACTTTAATACCAAATCCATTATCAGGATCTTTCTTTCCTTTTAGTGCTGGATCCCCTAATGGTTCTACTCCAAAATGCCAATCTGCACAAGTTTCTCTTACAGATACAATAATACTAAAAATGTGAATAAATAAATTAATGCTTTTATGAAATTCGTTGATAGGCAAATTGATATACATACCTTCTGATGAGATCCTTTTTGTTCTTTATTGCTTTACGCAATGGTTCTCGTAAGATGAGTTGTACAAAATCTTGTAACTCCGCATATATATTTCTACGTATTGCATCGATAAAAACAGTTTCCATACGCGCCATTAGTACTTGTAATCCTTTGATCATTGCAATAACTTCTATTAGTGCAAATTTTTCTTCATCTGTATAATTATAACGCGTGGCCTAAAAAATAAAATATATTTTTAAACATTATATGGCAATTAGAAACAACGAACACAATATATCTTACTCTTTCATATTCTTCAGCTTCCTGTGGACATTCTTTATTCATATGGTGATCAGTAGGATGAAGAAGTTTCCAGCTGTAAAGTTCAGTCACTACACTTGTCCATTGAGAAAGTAATTGCAATCCCCGTAACGCTAATTCTGCAGTTTCTCGATTTTCTGCATCACTTCCACATTCCTTATATGTCGTAGTTACTTCATTACTATATCTGTATAAAATTAATATTTCTTCTATACATATAAATTACTGTTCTCCTCATGTTTACTAACAGTAATTACTTTTTAATATTACCTTGCTAACTCACTAATATATTTTACATGATCTTCTCTAATTTGTGGAAGATGTACCATAAGATCTGCCTGTGGACTTATACTATTTGAAGATGAAGACAATGGCCATTTTGATGCATCAAAATGTTTAGAACGTTTTATGTAATTGAAAGGTGCAATTTGCATGTCACCAAACAATGGTACCACTTCTAAATTTTTAAAAATTCTATCAATTCTATCTAATTTTAATTTTCTTTTTTGATCTAATTTATTAATATTGCAAAGATCACTGTCCATTAAGAATAAACCAAACCCCATTACTTTTACTAGCATGTGTTTTTCATTTGGAGTCAAATACATTTTAGTCTCAAACATATGAACGCATATATTAACAACATCAGCAAGCAACTCTTCATAGCCTGCAATCTTTTCCAAATTTTCCTTCACTGTATCACGAATTTTATTTTGTGTAGCTAAAAACATTGACAAATTTTGAGATTCTTGCAACGTTTGAGAATCAGACATCACTTTCAGAAACTGTGCAGCTCTGCAAAAGAATCTTTTGTTACTATATAATTCAAAACATAAATATACGATGAAAAATTAAAAAAATAGTTACCTTCTGTATGTAGAATAATCATTTTTTACACTTGATTTCATATTTTTGAGTTCATCTAAAACTGCAAACATATTAATAAATTTTCCTAATGTAAGTAAGTATGCTTCTGAAACAAAATCTTTTCTTTTTTCATGATGACATAATCGTTTTACTTCTCCAGAAAATCTTTCAATTGCTTTTCTCTGAAAGGTAAGATTATATAAATTTCACACATGTAGAAATACATAAACATGAGGTAAATTAATTAATTAATTGCTTACTTGAAAATACATAAAGTTTAATAACTTATTCACTTCAGGTGCTAATACTTCTACTGTCTTTTCATAAATTTCCACTCTATTCGGCTGTTCATTAGATTTTGGTTGAGGAATAGCACGGGAACAGCATCTCCATGTATATAACATTACTGCATGTTTCAGACCTTCCTCTAATAATTCATTCTTCGAAACACAAATAGAATCACTTTTAACATTAGTACTAAACTCTTAAAACTATAAATTGTCCTGTATATGGGTCAAAAGGCAATAAATATGTTAATAATAATATAATTACCAAACTAGCATGAACTGTTGCTTCCTCAATATATTTTGCAATTCCAGTTACAAAACCATTCCTATCTTCAAAATTAGTATCAAAATTTGCTTGATAAACTATAGAACATGGTTGTGCTTCAATACAAGGCTGTTCATCTGGCAATGTAAATTCATCGAGTACATCAACATTTGATAAAGCATCACCCAAAGTTACTTTGTCTGTAGCCATTATTACTTAATTCTGTGTAAAAATAATAAATAATATTAATCCTTGTATCTCACTAAAACTAAATACACAAAAGTAAAATTCCCATGTAATAATCATAAACATTACAAATCATGTACAAATAATCATTAGTTATGTGACATACCTATTCTGAGGTTACGTTCCTACAGACAAATGTTCAAGAAACTTATAGTTACAATATAAGTGAAATAATTTTCGAATATTTTACAGTACATCTAGCATATTTGAATATAATAATTTCAAAGTATATCGTAAATGCACCTAGACATATTTTTTAACACTCCACCCTTTCGCTCAACAAAGTGATTATCCTATCAACAACACAACTCTATGTGAGTATGTGAGTAATGTGAATGTGAGCTTTATCATTGATGGGATACTATTAAAAACCGCTAGCCTTCTGGGAGATCCTGTCTCATGAAAAAAACTGCTGTCTTTGAGCACCCTCTAGAATATATTTCAGACAAAATACGAAATAGAATGAACAGAATCGTATTATCATCAGACGTAAACTTTAGCAAATCTATTACGTATAATTTAGCTGAAATTCTTCAAATTGTTCCATTTCGTATAGAAATATTTGCGAAAAGATTTCAGTGATTGGAATGAAGATTTTTTATTGTGGGTATGTTATCGACATATATTGTCATTATCTATATTGTGGGTATGTTATCGACATAATTATGGGTTTTGGAATTTCAGGATATATGAGGAGAAGATACAAGTAGCGCCGCCAAGTGGCAGAAATTGGAACTAACGAAGGTAGTGTCCCCAAAGCCTGTAGTTCACTCCGTTCGCCCGAGAGATGGCGCTACTAGTACTATTTTTTTTTTAAATCAATTAATATCGATTTTCTACTATTTAATTATACAATAACATGCATTAAATTACTTTAGAAACACTTATTAGCTTTAGAATGATATAAAAATGCTAATAAGATAGTTACTTTATAAAAAAACGCAATTTTACATGTCTATACATTCGATCCGTAGACAGTGCAGCTGGCGCCGTTCAGCCGGCGCGCGCAAGAAAACCCATTTCAACCTCCAAATAAAAATGAAGCTTCCAAAATGCTTTCACCTCCTTAAATCAAATACTCTATAATAAATTTCTGTTGCTACGTTGATAATTATCATGGGAAAGGAAATAAGCGAATACGTTTTATAACAATTGTATTAATATCATTTATGTACAATGTATACATGACGATACAGAAAATAAATCTGCGATGCATAGTTATAATACATGAATGTTATCGAGTTGAAATCGTTTGTTAAAATACTAATACGACAGCTATTGTAATAGAAAAGAAAAGTATACTTGGGAAAGGTTTGTGTAAATTAAACGTACGGTGTAATTTACTATAATACATTTATAAATACGTTATGCATAGTACGTGGTCGGTGTGTACATCTGACTAATACAAGTTACTTAAGTACAGTATCATCGAATATTTTATTGATTCTAAACAGAAAGGTGTTTTTGTCTTATAATTTACACGTTACATTAATCTAACGCATTAGAGTGTATTGCTTTCGATGTTTCTTTACTGTTCTGTGTATATGTACAAAGGAATAGATAAACTGATAAACGTTCGTTCGAACAATGGCAGCTTTGCGTTAAATTAATGTAACGTTAAGAAGATATTATTTACCTCGTACAAAAATACCTACATGTTCACGGTACAAAATAAACTCTACATCTTCGATATCTTAGATTACAACAAATTCAGATTTATTAATAATTGTCATGGTTACCAACTAATGCAACGTCGTTGCACTCGCTAATTCTTCTAGTCAGTGCTTAAAGAAAGGAATAAATCTAATAACGTTAGTTAAATAAATTTTAAGTAGCGTTTGGCTCGACACGTAATCGCGCGCAGATCTATGAAACACGACAGCTTAAATTAGTAACATAAAAATTATCCTAAAAATATTCTAACTGTGTCTTATCTCTAAAACGTACAGTACAAGAGTATAATAATAATAACTGGCCGCGGATGAAAACGCACGTAGTTACCTAAGTACCGAACATAACTCGAGACGCTATTACTAAAAGTACCATTACTTATCGTTACATTGTTTTTACATTGTATATATACCCTGATATTAGTTTGTAATTCAGAACACGTCTCGCGTTCGACTCCTCGAATCGTAATATCAGTCTGTTCACCTACTCGTTCGAAGGAGATTCTACTTGATTCGTTGTACTACTTCCCAACTATAAACGTTACAATCTTATCAAAAATAAACGGAATAATACGGCAAAATTTGCATTCTATCGCTAACTCTTAAACGTACTCAAACTGTATACATATAATAATAAATACAACGATAAAATCTTAAAATAATCGTCGATCAACTTCACGATAAGGCACTTTCGTTCAAGAATACTTTCAATAACTCAAAGATTGTTCGAACTTCTTCGTTGAAAGAGAACTCATTCACTGGTAACGTTTTCGTATTTCCATCGAATTCATCGTTCCATAATCTGTATCGATGATCGCTGCAACGTCACGAGATCGAAGGTGGAATCTGCTCTGATTCCCACACAAAAGATCTCACGTCTCCAGGTCTAAGTCTTGGTCCCTTGGCTTGCTCTTTTTAAACTTCTTCTTCTTCTTCGGTTTCGGCATCACTTCGCAGCTGCAACCGCTTCGCACCACGATGTAATCCAACGTCCACATCGATCCATCCACCGTGTTACCAGCAAATGTCGGGATCAGACGTTCTCTGTGCCTATGCCTACCGTGCTCCTCCTTTCCACCCTGCACACAAATAAAACACTTAGCTAAACACAAGTACTAACTCTTCTTATTTTTCACAAGAATTCCTCACACTAACAATGAGCAACAGTACAGTAGATTTTTGTATAGCTGTGTACGAGCAGCTAAATTATTGAAATTAGCAATATTCTTTTATCAAGAGATATATTCATGCAATGCTTGAAAATTCTACATCGTGAAACTTTTATATTTTTAAGTTTCTAAATCTGTAACTTTCAAAACTTGATTATGTTAAACTTGTAAGTTATAAAGTAGCCCTGTACATTTCTAAATTTGGAAATTCATCAATATATAAATGTTTGAAGATGAAAGTGGTAGATTTGAAAGTGTGACACCTAAAGATTCTAAAGATATGAAGAAACGAGTAAGATAAGAGCATCGTGGAAAATACATACTTTCGATCCAGAATTTTCAATGATAGCGTAAGTGTACGAGAACTTCTGCACACATCTGGACTGGTTACTGAACTTCCGGTCGATGAACCTGCACGGCTTGTCGAGGACGTCTGGCCTGCAGGAGTACTCGAAGAACCTCTGGGTGTGCTGGCCATCCCGATACAGCTGGACGTACATGTTTTCCCGATTTCGACCGCCGACCGGTTCCACCATTTCCTCCACCGTAGGGCAGCAATCGACTGGAAGGCCGTCCTCGCCTCCTTCCTGTCGCAGAATCATGTTCATCTCTCGATAAGTCATCCGCTTGGTCGTGTCGTCCAAGGTCTGCGTCCTGGAAAGTTCACCGACAGACGAACTGATCGTTAAAATTTCTATGAGTGACCGTGAGCTAGACGGGAACAGCTGACCAATTATTAGCTCTACCGATATGTTCTTTTCACGTCGAACGTATCAGCTGGCGTATCGACATTTATTAGTGGTCTGTGGACGTTGATGAATATAATCAGATATTCATTGATATTCAATTAGAGTGTTATCATTATTAAAAAACAGGGTTATATATTGTACTAAATATAAGGTGGTTAATTATCTTTTTAAACAGATTGATTTGTGACTTCATTCCACCCCTAACTTTCGAGATTATACTAGACATACAGTACTACTACTAGATACATTTAAGCTTGCTCAAATTTATAGAGAAGTGGTCCAAGTTTTGTCAGTAAATATATCTGTTCTATCAGATTAATAGCTACTGTGTGCCTAAACACGTAAAGCAATCTGTCGCAAGAGCGAAAAATCTCATTATGTCAACAATTATATAAAATCTCATAAAATGGATATAGTCTTCGGCAGGTATAATAAAAAGACTAGATTCTAAACACACGCGAAGTTGGAGCACCATCGTCGAACGAGAAATAGCATTCCACTCGTGCCGGTAAAGTAGCGGCTCGTGTCTAAACCGAGCGATAAGAATGCAGCTCTATCCAGCCGGAAAAACACCGATTCGATTCGATTCCGTATTCACTGGCTGGACCATTTACGCGAGTCATTAATAATAATTAAGACAGCTTGTCAGACGCGATAGATAATGGGTAACGCCATGTCGTTGGTAAACGCCGGAGATATACGGGTGTCCGCGGACGCTGATTGAAAATTGAAATTCAAACGCGCGAAATATGTCGTTCGCGTGTTGATAAATTTGCTTAAGCGATGCCAAGCTTGAACGGTGCCAAGGTATTTCGCCGATCGTGGTATATGTGCAGCGATTTAGGTACGAGATACGTAAATTGATAATGTACTCTATATTACGTATCTGAGAAAATTGGAAGATTGATTTTGTTTTCATGTTTAGGGATTTGGGGAGAATTCGGACGTTTGGAGATTTAGGGGCTGGCAGATTTAAAAAATTTCACCGAAGCTGATATAAAGTCAAAAACTTATACCCTAGTTAATATATATTCATATCTAAGTGATGCTGAGACATTTCACAGATACATACGCGATATCTAATAAGATCGTAAACTTATTTTTGATTGAAGCGTGTTCTCGCTTCATCGAAGCTAAGGTATTTCGTCGATTTCGATATATAAATTGGACTATATTTATCGAGGCGTGATAACACTAGGAAGTGTACTTACCAGCGAGAGATATGTCCTCTGAAAGGATTTTCCCTGCTCTTACGAGAGGAGAGGGATAAAGTATGGTTGTTGGCGGCAGCAAGCCGCGGGCACAGGACTGCGGTCAGCAAAACCACCTGCAAACAAAAAATTCATACTTAGACCATACGACTTCGAAACTATAGAAATTTAAACAATTTTTATTATAGTGAGAATTTAAAGTTTTAATAGTTGAAGAGTTTTGGACTTTGCAATGGTTTGAGACTTGCAATGGTCGTTTGAGCTATTGAGATAGGACTTCAAGATGAGTATTAAGACTTCGGAATTTTGAAACTGGCGAACCTTACTTTATGACCGAGAAATATGATCAATGTAATATTTTTATGGTACACCGACTTAAACACGTGCTCATTTTGCTTAATGGTTAATGCATCCCTGTTGTCGAGCATCATAAGGGCGTCTCGAGAGCGACGTGTGAGAAAATACCGGTGGTACCGGATTCGTATTAACGTGCAATAAACCACTGTGTTAGTCACGGATCGGCCGCGACTGCGAAGTACAGTGCACGTGAGCATGGTACGCGTTTACGGAGGTGAAAACATTAATTCGGCTTATAATTTTTATGCAAAACAGGCCCCGAGGCGTTCACAGCTCGTCTCCTCATATGGCCGTCCCTCTTTCTCTCCCTTTCTCCCGTATGCTTTCGACTTAATTGCGGAATATATCTTGTCGCCAGGAATTAGAGATGGCGCGATTCTTGCGTCGCTATCAGCTATTTAATTCAATTTCGTAGACTCTGCGTGTAGAGTTGCGTGGAACGACGATTACTCAACTATTTTTAAATCGAACATTTGTAACGTTGGTTTCGCAACGAAGCATTTCCGTGGGATCTGACTCATGAGGAAAATTTGTAATGAATTTTTATTAAAAAATTTCAAATATCTCTGTTACGTGATCTCTAAGAAAATATATAGCACTTTAACAATAATTAAATTGTTGCATTTAAACTTTTTTATATCTTAATTTCAAACATATAATATTCTGATATATATGAACTTAATATGCATGATATACATAACATTATAACAGATATAAATTTTGTATGCACGACATAAATATTTTTATGTAAATTTAACAAGCGTGATATACATAATATTGTAATACATATAACCTTAATAGACATAATTTTTTTCATACTTGTATAAAAAAATTAAAAATTTGAAAAATGTAGGAATGTGATTTTTATAGTAAACGAGATGCTCATATTAATAATAAGAGCATAGAAAGCACTTCATAACAATAAAATATTACTTATTCTACTTCTTGCCATTCCTCGCAGAATCGTTTGGCTGTCGTATTAAAGTCGCTACGATACCGTACCATGTTTTCAGTAATTGATGATTTTCTAAGTGGTCAAGACGGCTCGTTAGCATTTCACGAATATTAAAATTACATAAAGTTCAACATTACAAGATGAGCAATTAACGAAAAGAAAAGTAGCGTCGATGTTATCGTCAGCTGATTTCCATTAAAAATACATTTCTTTGATGTAATAAACATGTACCATTCCAGCTCATTAACTTTTCGGTTCTCTTATTGCACGTTTCTTCTTTTAATTCCTGGTGGTTCGAAAATTCGTTTATCAGACCGTTTCATCATTTTGTATATTATCGTATTTTAACCCTCCGACGGCGACATCGTTTTGCTGACACATATGATTTAGGCCATTTTTAACTTTCGAGACACTGCAATTTTGAAATTTGTTAAACTCGTTTAAAATCAACCTACTTTCGAGAAAACAGCGATGTTAACTTCAACGATTGTGTCCGTAGGAAGTCCCCGTAGAATAGTGAGCTCCGTGATTTATAGAAATGGAAAAATAAGTGATAGTCAACACTCGTGTCGCTTAATTAAGCCATCGTTGTTCGAGGTGAGCGGTTCAGTAACTGGCGCCTCCTGTATGAGGAACTCAACGTTGTGACGGGGGTCGGCGTTCAAATTAAACGGATATTCATGCACAACGGGGACCACACACTGTGTTCTCGGATCCTTATCGGTTTCTTGTCCTCTCTTTTGCTGGCACACCGCGATTTTAATCGATCCTCGCATACAGGTACAAGAATCACGATCACTTACGCAAGGGTATCTCGTCTACCCTTAATGACTCTTATCCACTCACCTCCTCATCAAATTTCTAAAGTGGTGCATTTATCAGCTGGTAAATATAAAAATTTAAATACTTGAAATTTTTCTTTTGATACATTTTAAGTTAGCAATTTTTTAATTTCTAAATCTGAAGATTTAAAGGACTGTAAGGATATATGAAATTTTTGAGTTTCTAAGTTTTTACATTTTTGATTTTCTGTCTTACTAAAATACCACATGTGAAAATTCTGAAGTTACTAATAGAATGATGAGATAATTTGAAATGTTTTTTAATAAACATTGTACTCTTGAGAAAAAATGTCAAAGACTTCATGAGACTTCAACGATGTTAAGAAATGAAAAAAAATGTCAGATTTCGTGTAGGAGTAAGAATCTTAAACAAGTCCGAACCGATTGAAATTCGAGAAACCGAGTTTGATTTATCTACCGATTTACCTAACCTTAAAGCTCTGTCGGCGTATACTCGGAAGGGCTCGAAATAATCCCTCGTTTCGCATGGAAATTTCGACCTTTACATAAGCATCATTATTTCGTTTTTACAGGCTAACAAACGATACGATGTTTACGGAACGTTTTATACGAGAGAAGGATTTGTAACTGAAAGCGTAGCCGGCTTCGGTTGACGATTTATGGGCTGATTCGATGATTTTAATGATCGGTCGTATCTCGTGCTGTATTTTAAGAATGCCTTTTATCCTCCGGTTGTATGTTCTCTATTTTGAAGTCTAAGTACGCGCAAAATGCAGTCTACTCATGCGGTAACTAAGGGCTAAAATGACCGTTCCCCCACTAAATATTCTAAATATATAGATGTCCCCTAAAACTGCGCTCTTAGTGCTTGATGGTACCGGCTCTTGGCAGCTTACAACGGAAACTTGTCAAGTTTTCCTCGCTTTCAAGCGCCGCTTTAAACTTTGTTACCGTCGGTATACAATTTCTTCTTTGACCCACTAAGTCTCAAAATAGTATAAAAAACAAACGAGGAAAATTTCGCGACCTGCACTTCTCGCATTTCCTCGCAGAACCAGTTGCGAACTTCATATCTCTTCGGAGGAAAATCAAGAACCGTCGCTCGGAGGAAAATCAAGATTACAAATTGTAGCAGGGATCATTTTTGTTTTATCGCATTTCTCGTTTTCGTCTATTCGGGTTGACGCTATTTCGCCGACATTATAAAATTCAGTCTATCGATTTATCGATCTGTTTCGCAGACTCGAATGCGGAGTGCATTCAAGTGTAAAATTTCAATCTTCGCTTCTCGAAGTTTATTTTGCATATTTTTCTGTTAACGAATATATACCGTGGAAAAATCAAGATACACGCGTTACGAGGCTATTACAGAAACTGTACATTTACAGCTGGCTACCAGGAGCGAGCGGAATCGACCAAAAAATTATTCCCCAAACAGAAATCACCAATAACGTGCACCGTCAAAATTTATACCTGAAACGTACACTTAAAAACCCGTTTAAAAAACTGTTGCTACCCGCTCGTAAAACACGTGGCATCGTAACATCGTATTCGGTTGTAGACGGGCCACGACGCGATTTCGGCAGATCGTATTTCCCCGCGGATACCGAGTCAACGATGCACTTAAAGTTCTCTTCAGGATGGTCGCGGTATGTCTTAGAGACGGGCCACGGTTCGAAACACGCTAATTAGCGTCTCGAATTCGTTGCGAACCCGTCTTCCGGCTGATAATGAAATGCCTGGTCAGACGGTATGCGAAACGTATTTTCGAAACTCGAAATTAGCCGGTTCGTTGTCGGCACACGCGAATTGTCCCAAGATATTTCGACGCGCGTCGTTTACGTTCGCGATGGCCCGCTCGAGTGCCCTGTCGATTCGTGAAGATTTAAAAACCTTCAAAATTGAACACTTAGAAGTTCATGAATTCACAATCACACAAACTTTTCAATTTTTTAATTGTACTTCCATATTTTTAAAATTGGGATATTAAAAATTTTACAATTATTACATATCATTATATTGGATATTACAAATCTTGAAATTTAGGAATTTAGCAATGTAATTTTTAATTTTGTACACAGGAAATTTTGCAGACTTAAAAATTTTCAAACTTTCAGATTTGAGATCTGCCTTTCGGTACACGGTGATTACAATAATTCTGTCGATTACCGCATATTAATCAGATGGATGTAAAGACTTCCTGGGGCAAACCATGCGAAGAACGTAAAAGGCTTGTGAAGTATGGCTCTCCGATTGCAAACTCGTTCCTGCATATACTGGAGCGTTTCTCTTAGAGCAAAAAAAATACGGACCTATCAGCCATAAGTCACGGTACCCGAGGCTGAATACAACCAGCAGTTTTTGCTTACGAGACTCGAGATTTTCGGTAGGGGATTTATCGAGCACGTACTTTCAAATTAGCCTTGATTCGAGACCGAAAATCGGCCTTCGATGAACCTTCGCCATAAAGTCGGTTTTCTGCTAACAAAGCTTTTGTATTGATCGACTGTACATTCAATGCATGTACTGTTCATTCATGCTGATTGTCACTTACAAATGCAACTAGAATTTTTTTACCTTATTTTGTTAATACATAAATTATACAAAAACATAATAACATATCAATGTTCAATGTTCCTCAATCATCAAGTCATTCATTTGAAAATTACTATCAGTGTATTTATCTTGAATGCAACATTGTAGTATTAGTAACACTTTGTTTCAAAAGGAAACAATATCTTTTTTGTAGATAGAAACAATGTTTCACCCTACACTATCTTCCTACACATAATATGTATTTTTCAGAAGAATTCCATTCAATTTGTATTCACTTAATCGATGCTACCCACGGATTCAAATTCTTGTTCGTCTTCTTTTTACGCAACTGTAGTTTTATTACCTCATAATTTGAACAATTCAACATATGTCTAATCTATTAAATAGATGTTTACAAGTTTTATCATTAAGATGATAAAAATAAAAAACGAAAGGGGAAAGTAAG